TCTACGATTCCCAAATACCATAAATTTAGTTTTATCCAGATTCAGAGATAGAATATTACTGTCACACCATTTCTTTATCTTCTCAAGTTCCTGTGAAACCCGTCCAGAGAGTAGCTGTGGGTTTTCCACGGAGATTTGCACTGAGCTGCACCTCATAATGTTACTACACTCTTGCTGCTGACCTGATTAGGTCCCATACATCCCTTTTTATTTGTTCATATTTTTATATTGACTTATACAATTTTGTGTTATGTGAATGGTGTGTCTTAGGGCTGCTGGAGGAAATTTCGCTGTGCTATGCATAATGACAGTAAAGATTCTTGACTTGACTTGATAGACAACTGAAAAAGCATGAAGACGAAGAAGGAGAATGGGAAGGGCACAGCATTGTGTGATTACATGTCTGAAAATGCTCTATGCAAGTTTTAATACAATTCAGCTTAATAAAATGTGTTGTTGAATAACATGAATGCAGCGCGAAAGCGAGGAGGTCTGTTACAGATAAAGAACAAGTGCCAAAGGCAGATACATTTTTTCAAAGAAACAACACGGCTGGAAATATAAACTGTTTTGCTCTCACTCCAACTATTACAAAGGAGAAATTATCTCCAACATAGAAACAAAATGAAAGAGCTTGATGAGATACTTTTGATTAATGTGTTTTTTCTTACATGTCCACATCTTCTTGAAAACAATCTTAGCTGCCAAAATGATGTACAGTATTAGGAATGTTGTCCACACTGTTGAAAACGCACACACACACACACACACACACACACACACATCCTCCTCTAATGCTCTGTTCTTCTGCAGTCATTGACATGCAGCGTAAATGACTCATCCTGCAAGAACAGTGAGAATAATGTTTACTTACTGATATTTTTATTATTACTATGTACTATATTACACACAAGTATAACTGCTGTTTACTTTCAGCCATTTGCTTTTACATGATGGTATCCAGTGTCTTGCTTGCCTTTTTTCACCTGCATCTTTCCTCCTTGTTTCCTCTGCCATTTGTGTTTTCTTCTCTGCATCACTGTTTTTTGGAAAACATCTGACCATTTGGCTCTAGTCACATGCTGGGTTGGTTTAACACCATGGTTTGAAATCTTTTTTTCTGGCTCCTACATCTGTAAAATGATCTTTCTTGAGGTCAGTAGGAAATGGTTTTTGGCACTACTGTGCAAACAAGTGGAACAAAAACTATAACTGAATGCTTTTACCTGCAGGTGAAATTTCAGTGTGGAAACATGTAATACGTCATCTCCAACAGCTCATCACAAACTGTTAAGTTTCCAACGAGAGCTTTCATCTACACACGCAATGAATTCATGCAGAATGATTAAAGGACTTTCCTAAGGATCGGGCTTCTGATACAGTCTTTTAAAAATCTTGGTTTTGCCTTTTTTCACACTTAACAGACCATAAACAAAAGTGTAACCAAATTATTAATGGCTAATGGGCACACAGAAAGTGCAAATGAAAGAAAAAAAGTCAATAAAAGAGTAGAAAGTGAGAGGGACAGAGGTAGCTGCACATTAACATGCATGCTGCAGAATGAATACATCTATTCTGTGCAGTATGAGAGCAAAGAAGGAATGTACAGTATTCTCTTACATTCAGATCAATTCCCCAAGCCAAAAAAATGACAGTCCGTTTCAGCACTGCATTAAAGCCACATCTTTTATTAAGTACGGATCCTCATGAAATACAGAATTCTTTCTAGACTGCCTCATGCGCATATGTTGCATTGGTATTTTCCGTTGAGCCTCACCACTGAGTAGTTTGTTAAATCAAGGCTTCAGTCAATTCATACTCAATTTTGGTGAAAATGAAAATTTACATATTTACAAAGATCTTCATAGTCTAATATATATTAAATGCATTCATATTAGAAAGTATGTTTAAAAAGACTAGATTAAATGAAAGGAAAATGAATTGAACCAGATTGTAAAAAAATAAAAATAAAAATTTAGACTGAGCAGAAGGCACAAAGAGGCATAAATTATGAGTAAATACTGTACAATCCCAATGTATCATTGAAATATTATACTGGACTATATTCTAAGCAAATATAAATTAATACATAAAAATTATAGTAAAATCAACAAACCTTATAAACATACAGAGATGCTAGAAGAGAGGTTATTGTGTGTTATCACCTGCTGGATTGCCAACAGGTACCCAAATGTTGTAACCCTCTATGTGTTGCTGATACCAACAGAGATGGCAGCTATTCCTACACACACAGACTCTACTCCAAAACTATTAGATGTGGTTCAGTACAGCTTAAAGGTCAAAACATGACACTAATGTTGCAATAAATCTAGATGATGAATTGTGACACAGTGAAGATTCAAGTGCCCAACAGATGTCATGCTGTCAGTGGCAAGTCACAGTGGGTAAGTGATCAGGTTCTTCTTTATTTCAGTCATAGTAGTTTGCCCTTAGCCTAGAACTGTTAGTTTTATTATGGTAAAGGAAATTATATCATGTAAATGCTACGAAGTATCTGATAAATAAAACCTCACACACAAACTTACACAAAATTAGTTTGCCTTATGAAAGAACTCAAACTGTTAACAGGCCCAGACTATAATGCAACAGGCAGGGGCCTTTGACACTTCAAAGTAAAACTAACAAAAAACACTATTACAATCCTATATGAAAAGCAACAGAAATAAAATGGTGAAATCACTGTAATTTTGAAGAGAATGTGTAGATAGTGGGTAGGTCTACTCATAGTTTAACCACTCAACCCCACTTGTATCAACCACTAATCCCAGTCTTAACCAAAGATGGTTTTAAACAAACATTTCACTGGACACCAATAGTGGTTCAAGACAACTTTCTCATTTCAATAAGAAGCTGATGTGAAAAGCATTCTTTATGGATACAGAATAAGCAGTAGGTAGCTGGTTATAATTCATCAGTCTATACAAAGGGCAGATTCCCAATAGGTTTGCTGAAATACAGTATATATTAGACTGGGTGTGCACAAGAAAAATGCTGCACTATCAAAGGGAACAACATCTTGTCGTTAAGCTGTTGTAAGTCTAAAAAAACCCATAGTCCTTTGGTTTGCTGAGGTATAGGCTGAGAATTAGGAAATGCATTTCAAACCTGACATGCTCACACTCAGAGTAGCACTGTAACCAATAAAGTCTCATCTCAGTAACTAACTGCAATTTACCTTTCCAACCTTGCTACAGAACTCCAAGAAACTGTCCCTGTCCCTTTAACTTCAAACCATGCCATGACAGCTTTAGGCAGCTGACAGCAAGAAAGGAATGCACTTTGGCTTTCATTACACAACACAGGTCACTCCCGCAGTTTCTGAATTATAGCCGTTAACCTTGGCTCTACCTTAGCAATGCTGTTCCACTTGCTCGCTGCACCCATTTACCAAATACAACAGCTTTGTAAATATTATTAATGTTGCAGAGATGCAACGATGAGGGACTTCAACCACAGTATGAATACAATGAAAAGACAGAAGTCCTGGTTTAAAATGGCTTATGGAAACTACTATAATCTCTAAACAAGAAAACACATAGAAAAGCTACTATGGATAATTGTCCAAAGGTCAAAAAATGCACATTTATATTTGGTCAGTTCTTTTAAGTGTCAAACACCTGTGGGAAAACAACAAGTCAAAAAGTGTGGACAGCCTTAACCACCATGCAATGGGACTGTGCCCAAACTCTGGACTGGTACTGTACCTGCAAAGTAACAAAATCTCTCATTCCAATACTGGGCAGCATATGAATAAATATATTCATTTTTCAAAACAATGAAAAAAAAAATCAATTCAAAGCATACAGAAAATGAAATATAATGCAGCAAACAGAGCAAATTTGACCTCAAATAAAGGGATAAAGCAATCAACATTTGAAGGTTCTTAGTGATACTAATCCCATTTCTGGTACAGTATCATTTAACAGCATTCAAAGCACACCAAGGCTATTCATTTATTTACTTCCTCATGTTGTTTCCCTGAGCTGGGACAGTTCAGCTTTAGCTCTGCTTAATGGGACAATCAATTTGTCTGTAACACAGAAGCAGGTTCAGCCCAATGTGGTTCATCTTAAAGACGTCATATGGCTTTAAAGCCACAGTGTTACCAATGCTCTGAAGTGAACTGCTCTCCTAGATAATATATCAAAGATTCCTTTCTTAAAATTTAGGCTGTGTATTTAATGTCTAGCTCTTAAGTGTAGCACAGAATGATAATGTATTTTAACAGTCTTATTTGTTCTCTTATGACCTCTTCATCACAAAAACTGAGCATTACATGGAGAAAGGATGGCAAATGAGGAATGTAGGAAAGATGAAGGAAAAAAAGAAATTAAAGAGCACTGAAGAACAACACAGGTGCATGACTTCAAACTTCAACAAGAAGAATCATCTTCAGCTGTTTCCAGATCTGTTCTCAGTCCTGATTGACAGGTGACGGAGTCCAGTTAAGTCAACATTGGTCAGTTCAGGCATAGAACTCCTTGGTAGGTGCTTTGTGATAGGCTGTTGTGGAAAGTTTGGTGTCTCCCAGGGCATAGCTCCCTTCATCCTTCTTCTTCATGCGGTAGGTGAGGAGGATCAGGAGGAAAACAGCAGAGAGGAATCCAAACACTCCGCATGCTATCACTGCTGCAGAGAACACAAAGGAATATCTAAGTGTTACATATTTTTAAGTGGAGATGGGACCGATGTGATTCTATATCGCTATCGGGCTCAATATTCATGTCATTCACTCATGAGCCCACTGTAACCTAACATAACGTAGCATGAGACACGTCACAGATCCAGATTTCATTCCACATCTTACCATAAACCCACTGGACATGAGCCCACTGTAACCTAACATAACGTAGCATGAGACACGTCACAGATCCAGATTTCATTCCACATCTTACCATAAACCCACAGAAACTTCAGTCTGTAACCAAATGAGCAAACAGCATTAGCTATTGGCATTTCTAAAATGTTGTTTGCTTGGAGATATTTTAGTCTGGAAATGCTGAAAAGCAAGACAGCTACTTGTAATGGGTGTAAAGCCAGTGTGCTGAGGGGTGGTAGTACAGTTGTGTCATACAATACAGCTATTTTAATCAAGCACCTGCAAATACGTAAACTTCCAGCAGACAACCAAAAGGCTACTGGGATTACAGAGAAGTTCCTCAGTGTCATTATACTCAATGACCAACCACTATCTGTAGTGGAAAATGGCGGATTTTGCAGTCAGGTGTAATCTGCTGTCCAGAAAATATATTTCAAAGACTGCAACACCCAAACTATACAACCGAGTGCCATCACAGCTAGCGGCACAGTTAGAATACGGTATGTTAAAGTCATGAGCTTCACATTTGATATTTGGGCCTCAGATGTGAGCGGCGTCGAGGGTGATCCCCAGCTGCCACTTTACCGGACCTTCAATACAACAACAGGTGAGACAGATAATAATACATTATTAGTGTCCTAATTTTGGCTACATTTTAAATGGTAAATGTGAAATCTTTCCAAACCATTCATTCATTCATTCATTTTCTACCGCTTAATCCCTGAGCGGGGTCACGGGTGGGGCCGGAGCCAATCCCGGCCGGCAATCGGGCGAAGGCAGGGTACACCCTGGACAGGTCGGCAATCCATCGCAGGGCCTTTCCAAACCAAAGCTTCGTTTATTTCTAGCCCAAAAGCGGAGATTTGATAATGTGCAATACTTTGGAGATGTGGGTCTCCTTGGTCTCTGACCATATAGTGGTTGCGCTTATCCATCATTACTTATATTTAATATTTTGTTTATTAGTGCTGATTGTTTTATTGCAATGAATGAGCTCTTCAGAATCAGCAACTGTGTATCAGAATTGGATTGAACTGAAAAAATGTGGCCCATCACTAATTTTAACAATGATCCACGTTCATGTTTGACAATATTATAACCTAGACTAAATGGCAAAAAATATTAAAAAGGACCCTTAACGTTAAAATATATATTTTATAACACAGTTTTAGCAATAAGATCAGTTTATGAAGCCTAAATTCCAAAGGTGATTAGTCTAAATCCTGATAGTCCAAAAGGAAATTCATCCTCACCTGCCAGGACCTCGGTCCTCTCCCATATATTCTCAGAGGTCACCTCTTCAGGAGAGTCCATGTTATACAGTCTGCCACCTCGGTCATCTTTGAGTACAATTTCATTATCAGGCTCTTTGGTCAAACTTTCATCTCCACTATCCTTGGGTGTCGAGACATTCCACCTCTCCAGACTGTTGTCCTCATCAGACTCTTTGGTTACACTGGTGGCACTGGTGGAGCTGAGGGTGGTACTCTCTGTGAATAAGTCAGCTGTCGGGCCAATATCCAGCATCTAAAAGAATATGTATATGTATGAAGCAGTCAATAATACAGTCGAGCTGAAAAACAAAACAAACAAAAAAAACAGCACATGTGGTATAATGTGATTTTAAATACTTTTAAAACCACCATTTAGATTAAGAGGTGGATGCTGAAAAGACATTGTTAAAGCTCTTAGTTGTTACAGTTTTATGGTTACAAATGGCAAAAATCAGAACTAACTTGATAAAATTCACTATAATAAGTCAAAATTTATACAATAATTGTAGACTTGCAAGGTCTCTGAGTTATGTAGACGGTGGATACAAATTTATAAATCATGAAATTACATTGTTTGTCTGAACCTTTTAAAGAATCTGCTGCATAACAGCAGTTTGTCCACAGATCCAGTTCTGGAAGATGTTCTACCTTTGAGTTAACAATTTGAATAAATGGAAAAAGTAATGGTCTACCTCCTCATTCCCATTGTCCCCATCAGGGACGAGGTATGGCGTTGTCTTCACTATGGTTGTTTGATCCTGTCTGTCGGCTGCAGTGGTTGGTGGGTTGTAAGGTGAGCCTGGTGTGGTCTGTGGTTGAACTGGAACCATGTCTTCAAGGAATGTGATGTTGGAGGACCTCCTGAGTATCTCTTCATCTGAGAGGTCAGCGAAAGCCGAGAGAGATCAAGCACTCACTACAAATTCTGACACCTCAGAGAGATTTTCTTTTCAACCAGCTTTGTCTCTAACTATCTACCTGCAGTGTGGAGAATCAAAATTCTCCACTGAGATATGTTAAAACTGTGCTCTGGGAGTTTTAATTAACTACATTCTTTTACATAGAGGAGGAAAACAATCTGTCAGTTTTCTGAATTACTGGAATTTAGCTAACTGCATTTCAGCTTACATTGTGATCACAGCCAATGTTCCAGCATGCTATTCACTGTGGGTGTAAAGGTGAGTCATTCACAATAAACATCTATAGGTTTCTCATAAAAATCTCACCTGGTTAATTCCACACAACCTCAGGACAAACAGTGAGTGCTTCTGTGTCTAGTCTACAGTACATATATTACTCAGTAGTCTGATATGTGTGACTGAGTGGACAGACAACAGATTAGAAAAACACCCCACGAGATGAGAAAAACTTTTTGTATGTAAAATATGACTTGTTGATGGCCGAATCCTATGTTATGCCTGCACATTATTTACAGCAACTTCATAGAAAAGACTACGATGATCTCAGTCCCACTGTAAGACTCTGGGCTAAGATCAATGTTGCCCTAAGGTGATTTTGGTAAGTGTTAATTTTACTCAACATAAATAACTATGTATTTGTGACCCCTACACTTATATATTTTCTAAAACTGTTAAATTTTAATCAACAAAAGTTACAGAATTAGAAAAAAAAAGAAACAAAACAATGATAGTTCTAGAGACAATGGTCTCCTTACCAAAGTCTCCAGATCCAGATCCAGAGTCAGAGTCGTCATCTTGGCCATCTTCATCATCTATGGGGACGCCACCTGATGTATGGCCCTCTAGGTACATGTCATCTGACATGGGAAAGGATGTCTGAGAGGAGACAAGGATCTGCAAGAAAGAAAAGTTAGACATTTGTTATTCATTTGTTGCAAACAGGAGAGAAATACTAACAAAGACAAAAAAGGAGAGAGAGAGAGAGAGAGACTTAGATACACAACTCTCCTACGTTCACACTTGCAAAGGTCCTTCCACTAACTGAAAATATGAACGTCAATACAGTACTGGATAAGACAATACCTCTGTTCCAGAGTGTTTACTGGTGTCTGCGAGTTTAATCGTAGTGTATAGTGTAGCATGTAGTGTTGTCAGAGTTGCCTGTTTATTTCATGTGCTGTGGTGGTAATTTATGATGCTTCACAGAGCCAAACAGCAGGGTTCTAAGTGTGTGTGTGCATGTGAGAGAAAAGCGACAGCTGCAAAAGACAACAGACAAGTGGATACACACACTGGGGAGGGGGTCTCTCATGGTCCCACCAACCCAAACACTACACAAAGGAGTGTGATGAAAACCAAAACCCTACTTGTCTCACTATTTAAGTCTAGTCTGATCAATAAAAAAATTCAAAGACACAAGGTATTTAAAAATAAAAAAGAAAGTTATTCATCAGCTTGTTGAAATATGACTGATGTCTGAAGCTGAATAAACCAAGCCATGATAACTTAAGACGCAAGGTAATAAACCAAATGTCTCAGGCGGTCTAGGAAGACACATGCATCAAAGAAAGTAACATGATGAGACAGGAATAGTTCAGCAGATGTTAATAGTAAAGCCACAAGGACACACACGCACACACACACACACACACACACACACACACACACACACACACACACACACACGTTTTCACTCCTCATGGGGACTCAACACTGATTTACAGTACATTTATTCCTTTAAAACTTTCCCTAACCTTAAACATGCCCACTACTTGTTTAACCTTAACCTAACCCAACATTACACTAAGCCTTCACCTTAAAATTCAATGATTCACATGGTGAGGACCAGCATCAAGGAAGGCCGAATCCTCACAATGTGAGTACTACCAGGCATACACACTTAGATGAATATGGCCCACTGAGTCCTGAAGTATGTCTGGTATGCATACTATGCTTCCACTAGCCCAGGTGCTGCCAGAGGGAGAGAGAGAGGGTAGACTGGAGAAAGAAAGGGATGGAGAGAGACAGGGACAGTACTGTATAATATCTTGTAAAACAGGTGCTGAAGAGAGTTGTTCGGATACAAGGGACTTGTAGTGTGATAAATATTTGCACTTGAGGAAAGTAAGGGCATTTCATTTGGCTTTGGCAGTATACCTTTGGTCACCTGGAGGAAAAAATGTAAAAAGGCAACAAACAAAGCCAAACAAGGTAACTCTTTGCACATAAATCCTGATATGTATATTTATTCCGTAACTATAGACCAAAAAACACTTCATCTAAAAGTGCCTTTCATTCTCTGACTTATCCGATGTTATAGATCAAGACTCAGGACATCTTTTTTAGCTAAATTTTCATCCAGTGTCTGGGATATCTGGGTTCCTCTGAGTTTACTGAAAATGTAACAGTGAGCAATATGGCAAGAAATAAGGAGGAAACTAGACAGCACTCAGAGTGCAATCCTCTCCCAAGGCAGCTCAGTTTCCCCATAATGCCATTAAAAAAAAATCTGTGGATCAGGATGATGAGCCGGGATCACCACCAAAATATAACGATTGCTCTGTGGGCCATACCCATCTCCAATACATGTCATTGAAATCCATTCATAGGTTTTTGAGTTGTGCAATGAATAAACCAACAAATGGCAGTAAAAACATAACCTCCTTGGTGGAGGTAACAAACCAGATGTTCACCCTGTGGTGAAACAGGCCAAACAAAAAAATCATTAACTATCATTTTCAAAAAGACAGCGAAGTCTCATGATGCCAAGGCTGACGAAAACAGCAGATGGGGTTCTCACATTAGGAGTTACAAATGCAGATGCTTGTGACAACAAAACACACTGGGGGACACACACACTAGAACTGCTGCAGATATGCAAATGTCCATCAAATTTCTGGTTTTTCTATCTGCCTAAATTAGATGGTGTGGGGGTGAAAGCGGTTCACGCCAATATTGACTGAACTGTTCCAGGGCAGGAAACACATCATGTACATAATAAAACTAAGCAGGATTCCCCTTTAATGGCGACAACAACTAATCCCACTGTGATGATGAACTGATGTGTTTCTAAACACACCACATGTGAAACACACCAATCTCACTCTCATATACATCGAAAGAAGGCTAGGCTGTATGGTTGAAATCTTTTCGTATTTATGTGGATATTTTCTAATAATAATATATGGCAAATATCTGCACAAGCTCTCAAACTGATGTTGACTCCTCATAATGAATGAATGAAAAAGGCAAAATCATTTTCTGTCTCTCTGCCATGAAGATGCTGAGCATTTGGGTTTACTTAAGACTTAACTCAGTCACTCAGAGCAGACACACATCTGCAAAACATACGCATGTACAAGGCGAACACACACACAGAGACCATATGTAGCTAGTGTTTTGTCACTGTGAAGACAGGTTTCTGGAAACACATGCAACAGGCAGAGTGCGAGTGTGCTGAGAGGGCGCACAAATCAATCTTGTAATCAACAAATCTATATTTTTGTCTGCTGGGCTAAAATATTTCCCCAGTGAGTTGGAAGTCAATGAAAGCACAGCTGGATCAAGAGTAAAGCTGTGTAGCAGCCAAAAGCACAAAGAAGACCTGTCAGCACCAGGTAGATAGCAACAGCACACTGGTGTTTGGGGGTGTATGTTTGATCAAGGCTATGACTCATAAAATGTTTCACCACACTACATCAGATATATCTGTTCACTTGTTCAACGGCAATTACACATTACTCTCAAGGCTTCACAAAGGCAACATTACTTGACAATAAAAGGAACAGAAGTCAATTCAAGGTAAATTGATATTGTACTGCAGGTCTGGACAGAGTTTGGTAAGATTGTACAGAAAGACACTTTCTCTAAATTCTAAAGTGTGATACTAATAGCCAGAAAATAACACTGTTTACGTTTTTTACACATACAAGATATTATAAAGCTCTAAACTGAGATGCACTTCATTGTCAATTGAGTCTGCTGAACACAAACTAGTACTGAGATGCGTTTCATTTTCAATTGAGTCTGCTGAACACAAACTAGGTCACCGTTCAAACTATTTGGAAAAAGGTAATACACCCTGAGCTGGAGCAAAGTGCAAAATATTTAGCATGTCTCCTCACCTCATTGGTATTTTCCTCTGTTGCCCTGGTTTTAATACTCTTCCTATGTTTAGGTATAAACATTTGTCAGTGGTTTGAAAATACAACATACAACCAACAAAGTCACAAGAATGTTAAAGCAACGGTGGCATGTATACAGTGTTACCTTCATATGCAGTACAGAACAGTGGTGTGACTAATATGCTGTGACTAAGTGAGAGAGCATGAAATGTGAGGTAGAGCACACTGTTCAACTCGCCACACCTTCAGAAGTCAAACTACTGTTGGGTCATTTCTAGATTATCATTTAATCGCTTCTTTTAAAAAAAAAATGTAATTAACTGACCTTTTTGTCATGTGGGTGTTTTGGAAATTTGTTTCAGAAGCACCATAAAAACAATCATGAGTAATAATGAGAGCGAATGTCAGCCTCTTCCTCTTGCCTTCTCTGGCTGATCAAAGACTGTATGTATCCCACACAGTTACATGCCTTCTCTGGCTGATCAGACTGTATGTATCCCACACAGTTACATGCGTGCCTGGACTAGCTCAGTGGGACCCAGACAATGACAACTATGGCACACAAACTGTCAAAAGTTCACCGGCTAACTAGCTATGAGTTCTACAACCACCTGAGCTGCGCCCAGAGAAAGAGAATGCACATGTGACCCATCACACCCAGCAATTTAGGACTGGAGTCTGTATTAGTGGTATGAAGTAAAGGAAAGAAAGGAGGTCAGAGAAAGAAACACATTACAAGATGATACAAAGTTTAGCAGTAAAAAAGTGATTACATGGGTTATATGGCATATCATATCATCACTCTTGGGTCATTAACTGAGAAAGAAATGACAAACTATACTTCTTCCTTCCATGTCCACAATTCAGTATAAACCCAAAATGTGATCCTGCTACAAACAGACTCAGGTTTTAGCTCCCTCCCTTTCACAAGACACAGCCCACAAATGATAAATATCATACATTTCTGCAGAGGTGTCAAAGTTCTCTTGCTCTCATTTTGGAACTTGTACAGTCAATAACTCATGCAGCCAGGATACTTTGTTGCATTCATGGTTTTGCCTGTCAATTCTAGGTGTTTTTCAGCTTTACAACACACATAGGGAAGGGGAAACAGTAAGAGACTGTCTAGTCTCAGAAAAAAACGGATCTGTCAGGTTAAGCAGGAGGATTTTGTCATTCCTAGTGTTTTTATCCTGGTCAAGTGCTCACTATGTTCCAACTCTGATTTTCATTTTGCAAATACTGACATTTTAAAACTAGTGTGGGTGAGAAATCCAGGCCAGGTCTGTAGGTTTGTTGAGCTGGAGGCTGAACAGACTTTGGCCCTGTGTGAACTTGACATTAACTGGTCGCCTGAACTTGAATACACAGTCTGTTGCTAAATTATAAGTAAATCATGGATTTGTCCGCCAAATAACACATCTCTTATGTAAATCCAGTTGCTTCCTGGAAGATAACATTTGCCCGTCATTAAAAAAACAGATAGGCTTTGCTTCGTGTTTATCATTTTTAGCGTATACTTCACATAAAACGTCCGAGTGCAAATAAGGAAAATATGTTAACAAAATACACATACAGAACAAAAAGGACAGAACATGACATAGCCTACAGGGCAGCCTGTTTAAACCAATTTCCCATTAGCTTAATGGGGAGACTCCATGGGAAAAAAACACAAACTGAAGGAACAAAACAAAATGAAACGTTTTTAACATATCTAAACGGATAATCAACGTCTTTATGTGAAAATGAAAACACAAAGCCAACGATACTATGTCAAATAACACTCGGGATTTCCAATCGTGTCAAGTGGTCCAAAAAGCCACAAACAATAAATAAAAAACAAAAAATTAAAAGCTACTTACTTTTTCGCTGATAAAACCAGTCGCCAGCCCGACGAGGAAAAACAGCCACAGACTCCGCATCTTAACGTCCAAAAAGAAACGTCAGTTGTGAGGAAAAATACAGATTTAATGAGAAAATAGATTGACTGTATACACTGAAAGGAAAAGTGATGTCGTTCAGCGAATTCCTCGTCACGTTTTCACTGCTGTTTGCTGATACTTTGTACAACTAAATCTCGACACTTGGACGTACGTCTCCTAGACGCGATGTGATGTGGAACTCCTCGAGAAAAGTTGTTTGGACCGCAGCGTGGCTACACGGTTACGTCAGCACGTCGTGACGTTCACTCAAGGAGAACGTACCCAGCGGGGGGCGTGTCCAGGGTGGATCAAGAAGGATCTATCAGGATCTGCGGTCTTATAAGGGTTTACCTTAATGACTCTCAGCGTTTCCATGGATGTATTATAAGCAAAACATTGTAGACGACTTTTACTCCACTAGGCCACATTATCTGTGGTTAAGCGGTAACTTACCAGATTCGACCTTCACTAAAAAGATTACTAAATTCCCTAAAGACCACTTTGAAGGAATTAACTGAGTACATTTAAATACATGAAGCAGGTTGATATGAAACATTAGGTGCAGCTGAATTAAGTGCACAAGTTGACAATATGAAGTGTCTGTTTTACACAGTAACTGTAATGCAGTAGCTCAATAGTAGGCTTATAAACAATAATATAAACATAATAATATAAAATTCACTGAACATTATACAGTAATGCTGGTTTTAATGTACTTGCTTTGTACTTGAGATAGGGACTGACCACTGTATTTTATGCAATACAGTGTGTAGAGAAGCATCATCAAGTGAACTGCAGTTTAAACTGTAGATATAATGACTCCCTCTGGTGCAGTGCAATGGTTATGACAGTAAAGTAGCCTACAACACAAAGGACATCAGACTTTCACCTAACCCATGAAGGTCATATGAACAATCTAGAATCACTACTTTGTGGTTGTATAACTCCACCAACCAGTCAAACCCAGGGTAACGGGATGGACATGAGGGCACTGTGACCATGACCTTGGACCACCAAAATCTAATCAGTTCATCCCATAGACTGTTTGGTTCATCCTTGAGTCCAAGTTGACGCTTGTGCCAAACCTGAACAAATTCCCAATGGGCCAGTTGGACATGTGGATGGACAACCCAAAAATATAACACCTCCTGCCACAGTTACTGCCAGCAGAGGCATAAATGAAAAACTATTTAAAACTAAATGTGTTTTCTTTATATCACAAGTACTGACCATAAAGAAAATTCCCTTTCTGTTGTAAGCACTTTTGTGGTTGAAAGTATAGACACATTCTACATTTACAAATGCATAAACTGCATGATTTACAAAATTTGAAGTCCCACTGTGGCATATCAAGGAAATGTCATTGTGCTTTGCTGTTTATGCCATCACATGCTAACTTCATTGCATCCATCAAGGCAGTTCGGTGACTATGGACAGAAATTAGCCGCTAGAACATGAATACATATCAGGTTAAATTTGGCTAAGATGAGGAAATGCCACATTACTTTGAAACCGTTTTGTAAACACTAATAATCTGGAAGTTTATTTTAACAACCTTTTCGGTGGATGTAATTAGGATTCAGTTTTGACACTTTATAACTCAGCTGCAATTGCTGCCATCCTGCTAAAGACACCTTGACTGACCTGAAATAGGCAGATGCCTAAAATCTATATTTGGACTTTGTTTGTACCGATTTGTTTTCACTTAGACATTAATCTTTTTGGGTTGTTCATTGTTAGAAAAGCTGAACTACATCTGCTGTGATTCAATGTGCTTGAAAAAAAAAAAACATTTCTTATGATGAATATTTTTTTTATAGGCACTGAATATAATACAGGGAAAGAAAAATCAAAATGTGAAAGATTTGGCTGGGACTGTCAGAAATTATAAACAGTGTGGAAACTTTTCTAAGAGTTTTTGACACCTGAAAATGAAGCAAGAAGAACTGATAACAGTATTGACAGCTTCAATCCATTCAGAAAAGCTGGTTCCAGTGTTCTGATGTGATGCATGGCTTAGTAGACACTTACTGAAAATGATCCTGCATTTACATTATTTCCACCTGTGCAAGTAAAAATGTCTGCTGTGAAAAGGGTCTATTTAGAAAAGTCGGAACACTGTAACTACTCCGCTTAACAAAGACAGTAAATTCTAACTTATATTCCGTGATAAATAGACTTTACTTTCATCATTTTAACACACTTTTCTCACCTATGAAATGAGGGAAGGTACAACTGCATATAAAGTGGTCATCATAGAACTTTGGTTCTAGTGCTGCCTCTTGCCAAGGCGTATGTCCATAAAACTAGCGATGTTGAAGCAATAGCATGTTTTATCCACAGATATGAAAATACTCTACATTATGATTAGATATACATCTAATCTGGCATCTGAAATAACCAAAACATGGTGTGAGGAAAATAATGATGGGGACCCAGAAGTACACAGAATGCTTTGGAGTCTTCAGACAGTTGGATCCAGTCCCAACATTTGCTGTAGGCCCGGTAGAATAAAAAAAAAGAAAAAGAAAAAAAAAGAAGCTAAAAATAAACAGGAGTGGCCTCCGTAGAGAAGGTCCAAGTTAATAAAGTGTTTGTCTTTAAAGCTGCAGAGTCTGAGGAGGTCTGTAGCATTTTATAGAGCAGAGGCAGAAGTTCATCTGACCCCAGCCTTGATGTCCGAGGCTTTCAAACTTCTCTTCCAAACCGGAGGGATCTGTATCACAAACAGGAGACATTGCACTCATTCATCTGCCATTACTAAGTGAAATTGATCAGTAATTTGTATAAAAAAGGAGGAGTGGCCTCAGAACATACACATTCAGAGCGACCATATGGAGGTGCCATATTGTACACGCTGAGCTGTACAGGAAAACGCCACCAGCTAGCTACTGAAAACCCCAAAATGGTGAGAGGCCAGTGTAGATTTTAGTGTTTGTATGTGTGTTTATTACTAGTGTGGGTATCGAAGGCTCTAAATGTCGGCCCAGAAATGACAGCAGTCGTCTCCATATGAGCCCGCTGCCCAAGAACATGAAGCCTGTTACCAGCCAGAAAGCACGAGGGTCCTGGTGACAGACACAAACAGACAGACAAAAAAAACATGTGAGCATGAATATACGGAAGGTACAGTGTGCATATACTGTAAAGACACACTGAGCAACATGAATGGTTACACAAAAGACAAATACACACAGGAGAACATTATAACACACATTTAGATTATTTAGATGAATCATTTTCTGAAAAATGTCAAGAGTAATTATGAATGGCAATTAGAAATTTAGACTGTAAGCTGCTCATCTTATAAAACTAACAATCCATACCATAGTCTAAAACTGACAACCAGGAAAATCCTTTCACCGGTAAATACAAAATCGTATACTTTAGCAGGAAGGCCTCTTACTTCTTCGAAGCACGATGTCAGATTCATCCCAAAAGCCACCCCTATCAGACCGAATAAGGTAAGGGAGAAGGAACCCATCGTCAGCTGCAGATTCAGACGCATCATCACGTTGCGATGGCTAGAATAAAAGAGCGTACACAAAACATGCCTCTTTTGGGTCAACCTGATCTATTTCTGTGAAATTATTTTTTAGAGTCGGAGAAACAAACAACTACACACATTTTATGTTTCGGTATCACCAAAACAGTTTCAAACTAAGTCACTTCATTACATTGGTCTTAATGTTCAATTTTAAAATTGCAGCTCCACTTATAGGCCTTATAATCACAACACAAGTCCAGTACATGTTGTGTGTATACATACTGTATAACCCCTGTATACGTGTGTACCTATCCAGATTGATGAAGATGACACTCTCAGAGTCATCGATCAGCCCTTTCAGCTCTCTGGCCTTGTTCGCCAGCTCCTCAGCCTGCAAGAAACAGTGCACAGTCACTGTATGAACACTTAGCCATCAGCATCGAAGGCACTGTGCATTACCTATCGATGATATTTAAAGTTTAACAGCAAAATAAAGCTGCTAGTACGTAAGTGTTTACATAAATACAAAAAAGGTAAAAGGCTTGGTCAGGTATCAATATATAGTCTCGTCTGAACATCACCTTCCTGCTGTAATTCAGTGTGATCAGTGCACTTCAGTTCAGCATATTAAAAATGTCAAAATACAGTAAAGGTAAAGACATTTATTGTTGAGCAGGAGTTTAATTATTTCAAATCAATCCGAAAACAAACAAACAAACAAACAAACAAAACATTTTTCCATCCAACTGTTAATTTATTTATTTTTTTTAAATAAGTAACAGTACCTGCATATAGTAATTCTCCAATAATAGTTCCATCTCCTCAGCATGGTCAATACCCAGACTGCTCTCCTCACTAGAAAGGTACAGACAGACACCAAGACATATATTCATATATATAAATACTGGTTTAGGAAATGTGTGATGTCATAGACACACAAACATATATACGCATGCACACACATTCTCTTCCAAACACTGAAAATCTGACGCAGTCTGTCACCATTGCCCATAATATCCTCATAGACAGTGGCAGAGGAAGTCCTCACATTAAGTTGTTGTTTTACAAAGGTCAAGTCCTGACTATAAAAATCACTCTACACCAAAACACTGCTATTTTAAATACCAAATAACAGCAGCTAATATTGTTGTATTCCCCTGTCAACATGCGTTTCTCCTTAGTATGTTAGTGCCTAAACCTGATTCCAACCTTATCGTAACCCCAACCATCGAGGGGGGCACCATGAGAAAGATTTAATGGGGGGGGAACACATCTCGACAGGGGAACGGACTTCGACACAACGCAGAAAAAACTCAAGAAAATTGTTGAATTGTATTAAATCACTTGGATGTGGCCATTAATAACAAACTGGTTGTAAATGTCACCTTAACTTCTCATTGGACTTTGTGGCCTTATGGATAAGGCACTTTAGGCTTCATGTTTCTTTGAGGTCACATTTTAATTTCCCCTCTGTGTGTCTGCAGTTCCTTTACATTTGTGCTACTGCTTGTTTTAACCCTAAATGTTCTTGGAGACAAGTCATGGAGACATACTTAACACTGTTTTATTGTGTTGATACTAGTTTTAAGAGACCCGAAACATGATTTTGAACTGATAGCAAATCAAATGTCTGCCACAAAATTATGAATATGCTACATATACCTACATACAGTATTTGATTTCTCTGTCTGTGATTGACTTTTTGCAAACAAAAAGAAAATATAATATAGAAAACATGAAATATTGACTTTTTGGAGACATTAAGCTCTTAGACAGCTGCTTTTAGCATTCATCTAGTGTATGTGAATGCAAGTGTAACACACAAAACTCTTGGGTCTGTCCACTTGGTCAGGCAGAGCTCTTCAATGATCTTGTCCTCATCCAAAATCTTCAGCAAAGAGTCCTTAAAAACTTTTATGTCCGTCTCCAACTCCGATAAACTGTCAGAAGCACAAGAGACAAGAGGGAAACTAAGAGATACGCACAAAAAATATGCACATATGTACATGTTTGGGTCTAACACTGCCACGGTGGTAAATAGGGTGTGCTTGTTGTTAAAATGTTAAACATTAATCATGTTTAACTCCGGGATTCCTTGATTCAAGGATGAAAAGTGGTGATGGTGACTTCAAAGTTAAACTGTAAGGGATTTTTGAGAGAAGATAAACATTGTGTTGCTATGCTGAAAAAAATGCTATGGCTAAAAAAGTAACTGAGTCAGTTCCTCTAATCCATCGTTTTGATAAACACTGAAATCTGAATCTGATTCTGAATCCTGATGATTTCCAGCCCTGTTCACCAGAGCATTTACAGATTACGTCAGTGTATATGGTTCTGTGGTTTACCTCTTGCTGTTCTGCAATAGTATATGTAGTTTACTTCTGTCAGCAGAAAGAATTTTAGGATCCACTAGGGATTCCAGTGTGTCCAGTATTGTTGGTTCAACTTCATTCAGCCGAGTTTGTAGAGTGTTTACCTAATGACACAGATACACGAAGACACATACAGACACAGGTCATGGGGACATACTTCATACCGTTTTCATTGATCTTCACCTTATCTCAGAACAAAGTCTCATGCGTGTCCTCAGTTTACAGGCAGGTTTTATCTGGGTTAGACGATGCTTAAATTCTTAGACTGAGTGTTTTTCTCTAATCTGCCTCACCCTGTGCTGCAGTATGGCCTCCAGCGCTCTGAACTCAAAGGGCAGAGAGTGCATCTGTGATGCTAGCTGAGCGGTGAGCTCCAGTATCAACCAGCGCTCCAATCCCAGACCACGAAAATCCAGCACCAGAAGGGACTGCGGGGTCACAATGGCTTTCAGGGACTGTGGAAAGACAAGGGGGAGGCCAGAAGCTACATGTAACCTGATCCCTGATATTGTAATCTCACACCAAATATGTACTGTACATCTTCATTCAAATTTTTTAGCTTCCTATGGGATATTACACATGTTCATGTGAATGTGCCTGTGTATCTATGACTATGCATGCAGAGAAGACTACAGCTCCACTGGTCAGCTCTGATGGGTAAATATTTGCAATAAAAGATTGGATCAACAAAAAACTGTTGTGAAATCAAGCACACTGATCCACTTGAAGCTGTCCATTTTCTAAAGCCACAGTTAAATACCCCGAAAAGCCAATCAGATTCAGCATCTTAGGTCTCGGGCAGCATCCCCATACAGCTGACGTGAGTGAAGCTTTCAGTGCTTTGTGTAATGTACAGGCACTGCTCTGTATTTGTGCATCTTCACCACTTAGCAGGCTAATAAAGTAGAAGGATTTGCCTAAAGCATTTCTTTACTTCAGTTTAAACGTGAACCACTGCACAGAGAAGACAAGTGACTATTGAGAAACATGAAACAACACGGACTGTGCAGGAAGTAAATAATACATATGAGACAAGACAACTAAAGAAAGGGGCAAAAAGAGAGAAAACAGAAACAAAGACTGAGGACTGGCTTTTTCCTACCCCATATGTGTGGAAGAAAAAGCGAAATAAGATGTTAACTGTCTACTGAATACGGTATATACGCAATAAACAGCAAACTGCTGAGAGCAAGAGCATACCTCCATTCGTATAATAATGCAGTTGTTTCTAGCAGTGAGGCTGGTACTGTGCTGAAAGCGAAGGTCTCTGGCCTGAAGACCCAGCTCCTGGCAAAGCTCCGTTTTCTTCTTCTCTAGAGGGGAAAAATAATCACATTGGTAAGAGGAGCAGAGTATGAACGGTATATGGACAAAACCTGTTCTGCAGTGATGTAAGGGAATCACTACTCTGGTGGTGGCAGTGGATATGTAAATGGAAGATAAAATGTGAGAAATCTGAATTATCTCCAAAAGCATCTAGCCATCAAGAACCATTAGGGGGTGGTAAGTGTAATCAGTGACTGCCTGAAGTCTTTGTACATTCCCTGGTGATGCTCTCCCAGGCGTTCACTGAAGACACCTTTAGCTCTGGCTTGTTGTGAGGTCGTGTTCTTTGGGTTTTGAGCTGCTCCTTTTAATTCCCATCACTTTGAGAGGCTGACTTTTGTTTCAAAAGTCCACAGAAATTTGCTCCAGAGCTCTATTAGTTTGTTTTTTAGTTTTACCAGGGGTTTGCATCTTGTGCCGACTCCTCTAAGATTATGGCCAGGAAGTCTTTTCTTGTTCACAACTGTTGATTTTTGGCAACTTATTGAGTTTGATGTCTAGATAAAGGTCTGTGCTCACACACAGCTCTTTATATACTGAAGTAAAGGTACTCAAAATAAAGCTGAAACTTTAATTTATTTAATGACTTCAAAGGATAAGGTTGGTCTATGGCACAGACAAATAAACTAGGACCGGACTAGGAGACAGTGGTGCAGTGGGTAGAGCAGTCGTCTCCAACCAGAAGGTTGAAGGTTCAAAACTCAGTGATGGCAGTCCACGTGTCAAAGTGTCCTTGGGCAAAACACTGAACACCCCCCCATTGCCCCCGATGGTCAGAGCCGTCGGTTGAGTTGGCACCGCAGGTGGCTGCCATCGGTTCTGTACTGGAAACAAATTCCTTGTGGGTAACATACTTGGCCAATAAAGGTGATTATCACTATCCTAATCCAGGTTAGAGACCCACAGACATTAACCATGAGTAAAGGCAAGTCACTGTTGGTTTTAGCCTCTGTATGGATGGGGAGTGTTGAAAATACTATTCAAATAAAAAATGAAAGGCCTTTAATGAATAAATGCAATAAAACACACCATCTGTGCAAATATTCACAATCTAGACTATATGTCCTACTGTGCATGGCTAAGATTAAAACATGTACTCTGGGGATATACTGAGAGTTATACCTGGCCCCTGGTGAGAGTGGTGACATCACAGGATAAAGGAGATAATCAGTCATCAGTCTCACTGACAACCTTGATTTTGCTCATCAAATAAGAGACAGCAGGCAAGTCAATGAAAGACCAATGAGATTTTTATCCAACACTTACCAAACGATGTAACATTGCCCTCCTGGTCAAACATCATCTTTAAAATAAACAAACAAGAAATCTATGAACCACCTCTTGCAGTTACAGTTATTTAAACAACAGCTCTAATGTATTACAATATAAAATGTATGGCACTGGGCATCTGGGTTACATCTAACACCGACAGCTAACTAGTAGTAATTACTGTCCAATAACCACTAAAAGGTTACAGCTAACTGCCCTTGTTTCATCTCTTACCACAACAAAAGCTAGAGGCACACTGGAAACAGGGGCATCTGTCATTCTGTGGCGGACAAACAGCACTGTTCAGGGAAAAGACAAAGTTAAAGCATACATGAAAGAAAATGTGTGTAATAACATGTGCTCTGAAGTCAAGTCAAAACTCCTTCCTCAGCTGCAACTACAGGGTTTGAAGTCTGGAAAACATTCTATTTGTTGTTCTTCTTTGACTTACAGCAATAAGAATATACACAAGGACAAATATACTGTGCCTGATGATTGTTGAGACCTTAACACTGTTACTGAATTTTAGATGTTAACCCAGGGGATTTTATAGGACACGACTTAAAAGAAATCTACACTTAGTGGTGTATTTCGGCATATTAACATTTAGTTATTGGAAAAAAAACAATCATGCAGTTAAATATTTGATGCATATCTAACCAGAAAAATTTAATTCTCCAGCTCTCCATTTAGCATCTTTGCATTTCAATACACTTATCTGGGTTCAGCTTTGATACAATTTTATTGTACTGTTGATGTGCACAGTCATTTAACATGAAAAGGGTTAACATTAGGTCGGTGTTGTACTGTAACTGGTCTCTCTTTTTCTAATGTCCTTCTGCAGTTAAGTTATTCTGGTTGACAGCTAAAGTATGTAGACTAGAGCCTGAATGATACCGAATTTCTGAGACTTATCACAGATTTATTACAATGACACATGTCATAAACAAACACGTTTGGTTATTAAAGTGCCACGACTAAGATATGTACTTACTGGGTCACTGTACAGTTAAGGAACAAACCTGTCAATGGCTATATGACTAGCTCTCATCCGTACCGGGGCATGTTGGACCTCGTTGCAGCAGGTTCTCCCTCCTCACTGCAGCAGGCTGAGGTCTCCTGGGCTGACATCCAGACACAGGCGGAGTCTGACTGCACGGTGCATTAGCACCAACATCACTGTAGATCCTGCCGTACAATCCCAGTGTTCTACTTCCAGGTGTCAAGTTGTATTTGAGTGGATAGAGCCTTGAACGAGCCCTAAAAAGGATGAGGGCTCGAGTCCCGCCAAGTCTTGAGGAAAAATTACTGACATAACTGAAAAGACGCTTTGGATAAAAGATCTCACCATATGGCAGATACATTCTAGCACAGTTCATGCAGCCAGTCAGGAGCACTCTGTGTAGTTTCAGCTCCACACCACCACAACGTATAGCCCTTACACAGACTGCCATACTGGCACTGCTCACCGCTGCAGCAAGGAAATTAGAACACAAAAAACAGCAGGGAACTGTGGTGGAGGAAAGGGAGACAAGCTCTGGTCTCCATAAGAAAAACGAGGGAATACAGGTGTGTAAAAACTTGTAAGTGCGTAAATAGTCTCGCGGTGCCCTCCAGTTTGTCTGTGAGACGAGACAGTCAAGAATTAACAGTATCAACAAATACTGGTCAATATAACTTCATGTAATGCTGGTCACATGTTACCTTAGTTCGGCTACTTTCTAACTTTCCTCACAGTGTTTTCATTGAGCATGTTATGCTAGTTGCTAGTGTCAGGGACAGCTTGCGCTGTTAGTAATAATCCATCTAAAATCCCAGTGACAATAAACGAAGACACTGGTAACACAAACCAGTTACCTGCTGCTAAGCACAGACTGTCCTAAATCAACACATAAAGCCGTATGGTACTCCGCAAACACACGTTTCCTTGCGAGCATGATGTGAGGAAACAAGCAAACTGGACTGGACCATAATGCATCGCGGTGACAAGTACCGGGTGCCAAAGATCGTCTCAAGTGAAGTATATCTCTCGGACTGCAATCGCGGATGTACACATTTTGACAGTGGGCACAAGTTAGGCAGGATTTAAGTCAGCTCCCTCGGTTGCTGAATCTGCCATAGAAAGATGACCTACTCTTTCTGTGAACCAGCACACAGTGTGTGGAGGGGGGTCTGACAAAAACAAACCTGAAATAGGGGCAGACTAGTTACCATTATTTTCAACACTGTCAACACTGAGGCCTAGCCTGTTTAGATTTACTATCCGGTTCCTTAACAAGAGATTTTGTAGCTCCTAATTAAAATTAACCTACCATAGATGTATAACCCATTTGACTTAACGAGATCAGAGGCTCAAATACAACTTGGAGAGATGATGTAGGCGCGGAGGTGTGTCAGCATCAGCATCCCCCTCTGGGTGAAGATAACCGGAAGGATGCTTTGGGAGGGGGGCAGCTGTGCGGATTTTATTGCGTTGACGCTGGATCCGCTTATAAACAATCCCTGAACCAGTCCATGTTAATTTTTTGTAAATTTTTCGTTGTTGATATTTTGTATTTTAGCTGCCATGTTCCCGTGGTGTTATTCCAAGCCCGCGGACAGCGGCGGTAGGAGAAGCTCCATCGCGAAGCTGCTGATCGGCGTGTTTGTGGTGTACATGCTCCACACAGCCTGGCTGCTGTACGGCTTCCTCAACACCAAACCCTGCGACGGAGGCAGAAGAGAGCACTGCATCATCTCCTATCTGGCAGCAAGACCCAGACTGCAGGTTAGTACAGGCCTTTGTCCCCCGTTCCCCACTGCTCATGGCAAATAGATTAGAGATTCAGAAAGAACGTCATTTATATGAGATCCAGTTCAAGACAGGACTGCATGGGCCTGAAAATTTATTTGAAACAAGTGATCATGTTATTGGCCAGATATGCTCAGCTGTAAAAGGCAAATCAGGATAATAAAATCATGAAATCTGGTTTTGCTTAAACTATTACAGGCTATAGCTATTTTGCTAATATAGGGCTACACTGTGTGTACAGGCTATTTACTGTAGATTTTAAGGTTGGGAAAATGTGTCGAAAATCAATATACTGTGATACAAAAACATCACAAGATGTATGGATTTATCTAGTGATATAGATCATGAGGTCTCCATACACCGGCGACTTCATATTTTTTGTATAGTATAGTATATCTGGTTGTTCTTTACATAATCAAACTAATATTAGAAAAGGGGAATAAAAGAGGAATAAAGTACAAGTATTCCACAGCTGCCATACATTCTTGACATTGAATTTTTAATTGTATCATGGCTGAATCGAATTGGACACACGGTATCATGCATCGAATCTTATCCAGAAGAAAGCACATCCCTCCATCCCTAGTAGATTTGTTTGACTTATTTTACTTATTCTGCAGATGAAATGAGGTTTGTGCTTTTATAATTTAAAATAAACAGATAACACATTTGTCAGGTTGAACATCTGGCATGATGGCGGAAATCTCAAATTTATCTTCTTTTTTTTATCAGAGCTTTGCCTTATCTGTGTTTTTACTACATTTATATTTAAATGTTTTATTTCCTCATATATTTTATCACATGCATCCTTCTGTTTCTCTGCCTTTGGGTCAGGTTTTGTAAAGTAGGTAGATGTTGAGTTCAGTCAATAAAATAAACAGTATTACTGTATTTTGAAAAGGAGCCAGTTTTTCTGCTGCTCACTGACTCACTCTTCTACAAAATGAGCAGTGTCTTCTCTTTCATCCAGCTTAGTGTCTTCACCTGCCTCGTGCCAGACAACAGCCAGCTCACCCTCGCTGTAAACATTGCCCCATTTGACCCACACTCTACATTTGATAGGTGGGTTTGCCCTGTTAACTTTACAAACACATACTGTAACCATTATCTAATCTGTGTACTGTACACTGTGGACACTGTGTTGCAACATAGAATATAAGTCATGAAATAAATAAATAGGCCAGTGGAGGATTTTCCTAATGATCCAAACTTTCAAAGTAGCAGTTGCAAAACAGGACAAAAATGTTTGTTGTACAGTTGTTGCCTTTTCACTCTACTTTTCTCCCCCTCTCTCTCCACAGGCAGGTGAATGTCTCTGTTCCAGAGGAAACTCGGGCTAATGGCACTCTGTATGCAGTTGTTTACATTCACAAAGCTGGTGTTTCACCTCTGGAGGACAGCAGAGAAGTTCACCACATAGCTCAGCTCACCACCTACATCTCTCCCACACACACAGAAGGGCAGAGAAACACACAGAAGGTAACACTGTCACAGCACGATCATTTCAAACACTGTGTCACCTTTGCACTTCATTTCAACATGGTTTTGCTGCAAATAAGTACATTTTATGGCTTTCTTAGAGGTCCAGCCCCAGATCTGAGAATCCTGTATCCCACTGGAGACCTCACCTGTCAGTTACTTTGATGTCAGAGGACTTCACCTTCAGCAAGGTGGGGCTTCCTAGTGACGTCCGGCGCTACATGAGAGTGTAAGTCACAGGAAGCTGTAGGAGGTCAAGTGCTGCTGCTTTTGAAAATCAGTATACGTCAATGCTTGAAGGGTTGGAGTAGAAGAAATTCAGTGGCAATGTAACTAAAATGTGTAACTGGTGTTCCTATGTAGTCTAAAAATGTATAGGTAACACCTCCAATCTTCACAGTAGCCATTCACTGTGGAAAACCTTCAGCCAGGGATCTTCTCAAACCATCTACCCTATCTGTATACCCTGTATACTGTATATCTTATATACTGTATATACCATATTATATTGTGTGTATATCAGTGGTTCCTAAAAGTAAAGATTAAATCAGAAAAAAGTAATTTATTTATTTTTTTTACCTCGTAGACACTTGGCCAGGTCTCAGCCCCCAAGTTGCCAACTCTTGGTTTATATCATTTTATTTTTCACAAATTAAGCACTCCAGTAAATGGTCACAACATCTGCTGCAGTACTACCTGCATGATTGCAAGTCTGTAGAAAAGCACTTGTGAGTGATTTTCAGTGATTTCCTTGACTGGAATGCCAAGAAAATATACCAGCTCGCGAAGATGATACTTAAAGGTAGTGCTCTGTATGTCATTTAATACACTTGTGTGTATATTTACTCATGATGTTTACACTGGGCTATAAATAAGGAATGAGTCGCATGTCTTTTTAAATGAACCCTTCTTCGTGCAGCTCTCAGGAAGGCCAACAGATGCTCTACCTCCCCCTGCTGCTGGTTAACGAGCTCAACTTCAGAGTCAGAGACCTCATGGTAGGAAGCTTTAATTTCAACATGCACACGTTAGTAAAACCTTGTCTAGAAAAAAATTGACATGACCCTTCATGTAACTGTCCATCCATCAATAGGAGATCAACAGCAGCACTGCTCAGCTCCCTCTGACTGTGACCTATGAGGGACTTTCTTTGCAGAGATTCAGGTTTTGGGTCCATCTACAGGACGTGGTTTATTCCCTGAGACAGTTTGGTGAGCTAACAAGGCAACAGATGTTATGTGATACAGTGAGTAACGTGTCCTTCTGCGGGAGGTAGTTTCCCATCTGCAATGACTGCTGTAAATATCTGATACATTTCAGGGCAATTTACCTTTTAATTTAATGTAGGCATCTGGCTCTTCATGGTATATAAACATAATCAGGAGAGAGAACTGAATCCTTTGATAGTTCTTCCTTGTGTTTATTAAGGCTTTACAGAGGAGAACATTGATGAAATTAAAGAAACTCTCATGGGATCCAACCTCTACCTGTTAGTGCTGACTGCACTCATCACAGCTCTACAAGTAAGAGTATACAACACAACAAAAATGCCATCCTGTATATATTAGAATCCATCTGATACAAAGTTTCATCTATTGTGCATTATTTTAGAAACCCAGACTTCTACATGTGAGCACGTGGAAACTCAGGCATGTTGCAAATGGAACACTGTAAAATTAGAAGTGTGTTGTTTTGCTGTGTTCATGGTCTTCGACAGCTCATCTGTGAATTCTTGGCTCTGAAAAATGACATTAGCTCATGGAGAAAAAAGAAGAGCATGGCTGGAATGTCCAGGAAGTCTGGTAAGAAAATCATCAAATTATACAAGCTTGAGATTTTAAAATCACTTTGCGGTCCTAAAGGCTCTGACGCCCGGGCTGCAGTCACTAAAAAAAAACTTGCACCCAAACTGCTGAAATATTACTTTTTTAAACTTTTTTTTTATTACAGTGTACAGTTTTTTACAAGCCACTGTGAACACTTAAAGTATGGTTCTGCTGTAAATGATCAGCCACAGTAAGGCAGTGGAAGGTGTTAAAACAGTCCATGTTGGGGCCCAACTGTTCCTCTGTCTCCCCCCACTCTGCTTGTAGTTTTGTGGCGTAGTCTCGGTACGTTGCTGATTTTCCTCCACCTGCTGGAGGAGACCAGTCTGCTGGTGCTGCTTCCTGTCGGACTGGGAGCATGTGTTGAGGTATTTAGTTCAGAAAGCATCAAATAAAGATCAGACTGAGTTGTAACTCACCAGCGTGCCACTCCAACAGGTCTGGAAGGTGTTTAAAGTGTATAAGATCCCGCTGCAGTGGAAAAGCTCTAAGCTCTATGTGAGTATGCTGCATTTATCTAGCCATGTGCAGAGTGATGTTGTTTCATTTAAGAAACATGTTGAGACAACAATGTGCAGTGGAGCTGTTGTGGTTTAAAATCACTTACTAGTTTCTTTCAGCATCATTAATTAACTTAGCTCCAGTTTTCTTCAATGCACTGCCAGGATATGAGTTGGTGTCAGACCGAACTCTCCAGCTTTGTCAGCTTAGTTTTTTTTTTATTACTTAAGACTGTCCTTTCTTACTGTGTAGGTAAATAAGCTGGATGAGGATGAAAGAAAGACAGTGGACTATGATGCACAGGTATCAGTATGTTTCCAGCGTGTCTGTTACATCTACAATTTTCTATTTTGCCGTTTAATTTGAACATTTGGGCTGTGGTTTTCTCTCTAGGCATCCACATACTTGTTCTACTTGGTCTATCCTCTGTGTATCAGTGGAGCTATTTTCTCACTGGCCTACTTACGCCAAAATAAGTGAGCTAATAAATCTTCGTATTCTACTTCCTGCTTTGCCACATAGTCTAAACGTTGTCTTATTACAGTACTACCAAGTGTCACACACTCATTTGTGCAGCCTACCTGTAACATTTCAGTACAAAGCCTTGTCTGTCTTACTGCCATACGGATGTTTTGTAGGCAGATTCAAATCAGACCTGAATTCTGAACCTTACATTAACATTAAACTGTGTCATGTTGACAGTTACTATTCCTGGTTGGTCAACAGCCTGGTGACCGGTGAGTTGACTAATAAGCTCATTTATATGATTCTCCGGGTAATTTGTTAACAGTAAATTTGTGCAAGTTCTTCCTATATTATGCTGATGCCTTTATTTCTATACTGACCACCAGTGTGGTGTGTTGACACTTGAACTCCCTTCGTCTCCTTTCAGGAGTGTATGCCTTTGGCTTCCTGTCTATGGCCCCACAGCTCTTCATCAACCATAAGGTCTGTCCAGAGACATCAGCACTATTTAGGATTCTTTATCTCTGTATATATTCACATATGATCTGATAATAGTGCTGAGTAAAAAACTCCTGTCTGAACTGTCCTCTGCTCCTCTTCTTGCGCTGGAGCAGTTGAAGTGTGTGAGCCACCTGCAGGGGGCAGTGTTGATGTACAGAGTGAGTTTGTTTCGCTTCTCAGACTTCAGTTAGGATACTTCTACTTTGACTGTTGCTTATCCTCCTGTATTTTATGGTGAATTCTGTGGTTTACTGTTGTCAGATAACAGATTAATTCAGCTCTAACCAGGATTAGTTAGTTAATGCATTATTATTCCTCCCCTCTGTCCTTTCCTTTCCTTTGTGCACCAGGGAGTGAACACCCTGGTCTCAGATCTGTGCTCCTGTGCCTGCTTTTTTGCTTCTTCTGGATCCTTCTCCTCCTCTCATCAACTTTCCTGCTTCAGAGATGAGCTACTCTTGTTCTTCTACCTCTACCAGCGCAGGTGTGACACTCAACAGAACATTGAACACTGTGGGACTCCAGTATATCTGAGTTTGTCTAAATCAGATCAGACAAGATGCTAAAATCCTGCACATCACAATGAATTTGGCAACAGACTGGAGTCAGGGATAATTTGCTGCTTTGCTGCTACAGAAAGTTTCTAGACATCTGTCACCATTTCAATTCATTATCCACCTCAGTGACTTTTGTTTGGATAGTTGTGTGTTTGTTCAGAGTTGCTGTAACAACAACAATGCAGTGCTGCTGTATTCTTTTATCTCTGCCAGGCGTTACGCCCCCAAGCCCAGAAGACGAGAGTCCGGGACCCAAAGCAAGAAAGTCAAGACCCAGTGAGAAGAAGGCAATAAATAATGCACAAAAATGCAAAAACTCCTCTTTGAAAGACCGACTCAGACGGGCCACATGCGACCACGTGTGCCACAGCAGCTGCTGTTCAATCCAGGTTGAGATGTTCTGCTTCGGACTCCTCACAGTGCTGCTGCTGACTTACTCATCACCAGACACTCTCTGCTGTACATGTTGTTTACCTGGTGAAAATATTTTCCCATTTGTATATACTTGTTCTGTTTTCTCTGCATCCAAAGTGCGTTTTAGTGAATGCATTTCCTGGTAAATCACCATCTTTTTCAAGCACACATGAACTTGATCACTGACTCTTTCTGGCACTAATGAGTTTTAACAGCTTGAACAGGCTTGAAGCTCCCAGGTGAGTTTAAAGGATAAAGTTGGTGATGTTGTATATTTTTCATATTAATATCAACTGATTGCATGAAAGACACCAAATAGATCCTACTAACTGTGTAGCCAACACCTGATATATCATGTTCAGTCCATTGATGTCTGAAAAGCATTAAAGACATAAATAAGCTACACCTTTGTCCTGGCTGACATGTGCAATGTATGTGGGCAGTGCAGCTGGTTTTGAGTCAGTCCCACAAACACCATGCTGCTGCTGCTGTGAATACTCATTAAACATGTATTAATCCACTGCTCAAACTAGTTGACAACATACACACATTGTACTTCTCCTGATTTAGCTGTTTATAAAAGCATGAAAGTGTGTATATTTGTGAGCTGAAGAAAGTACCGAGGGACTGACAGTTTGTTGATACTGTAGTAAAGGTGGAATAACATCAGACTTCTCTTTTAAAGCATTTTTTATACATTAACACACAGCAAAGCCATATGATCTGTTAGAGTGAAATATTCTCAGTCAGAACTGCATTTTAGGTGAGCTTTTCCTCTCCTGGCACATCCTGGAACCTATCTGGTATCTGTGGAAATGCCACAGTCATGACTTTGAGGCTCGCATGGCCTTGCAGTACTCCTTTGTAATTACTGAGACCGTACAGGGTTACAGATCAACTACATGGCTCCAGCAAGGATCAGACTAGCAACATGAAGCGTTTTTGTTTTTCACTCTTCTATACCGGCTCCCACTTAAAACCTTTGTTTTTTGTCATTGTAAATGCTTTGGGTATGTAAAATAATTTTAAAAGAACTGAAACCAAGTTAAGTACAGTATATAGAAACTACAGCATTGTCAGCAAGTTAAGAATGTCCTACACATTTTTAGTGGCATGTGTGTATAAATTCCTGCGCTGCAGTCTGCTGTTCAGGAGATGCAACTTAAAGCTGCTTCCTTGAAAACCCTTAAGAATGTCCTACACATTTTTAGTTGCATGCGTGTATAAATCCCTGCGCTGCAGTCTGCTGTTCAGGAGATGCAACTTAAAGCTGCTTCCTTGAAAACCCAAGTTGTTCCATAATCGTCACACTGGTGATCCACTGAGGTGATAATGCAGGACTGTACAGCTGTTTGTTGTGCGTGTGTTACACTGACCTCAATGTGAATTGCTGCTACTTTGTTGACTGAACTGACTTTTGGCAGTACACTGCTTGATATGTTTTATAATATGGAGCAAAAATAAAAATGTAACTGGATTTAAGGCTTATGTACATTTTAACAAAGCAGCTGGATTGTTTGGACTGTTTTGTGTGTGTGTGTGTGTGTGTGTGTGTGTTCAAGTAATTCTATCAGCACCTTCAGTCAGGAGCTAGATGGCAGACTTATGGCAACTGCTTGACTGGTTTCCTGCTTCGCTTTGCATACTTTGTGTTGGTTTGTCTTTGTTTACTTGTCCCTTGCTGTTGCCTTGCATGGGGGTATGTACATGCACACTCTGCTGTACCAGAGTCAAATTCCTCATGTCCAGCACACCTGGTCAATAAAGCTCATTCTGATTTACAGACTATCCGTAATAAAGTGTGTTTGTGCCCATGCTGGGTGTGTGATGGTGCATTCCTCTGTTGACACCAAACAGACCTGACAGGACAGCTGGGAGGATGACGTGACTGCTGTCAGTCTGGGAACGTCTTCAGGCCACACTGGAAGTATTTTTTAGAAATATATTCATCTAGTGAAAAACATTAAATTACATAATACTGGTTTTTATTATTTATTATAGGATCACAGCTGATGTTCACTATAATTTTTGTTTTTTCTTAATAGCATTTATGTTCAATTGAAACCTTTAGCACTGCAAGATTTTCTGGCTGTCAGAAGAGGATAATGAGGCCATTCCTTTATTTTGAAGGGTATGCCACTGACAGTTAGGTTTCAATGTAATTAGACCTTCACTAATGCTGACTGCCTCGACACTGATGTTTCACATTTTCTGGAAGAAAGTATGTCTGCCTCTGGTGTAAATTACTGAAAGGTCAGTCTTGGGAAGACTGAAGTAAATGGGTTCACATATTCATAGAGGTTGTTAAAAAGAAATGGGCGCTGCCTCCTGACTACATGAAAGAAAGATGATGACGCTCGGAGACATCCTGCAGCACCGGTTGAGCTGTAGGATCGTCAACACTTGTTGCCTCAGTCTCCACACACAGGCTGTTTCACTTAACTGCTTTAACTCAATAAGCCACACCACCACTGACAGAGGGTAAATAAAGGACAAGTATCTGTGAAACCAAAGTGAGATCCAGAGTGTCCGCCTCACACATATACACACACACACCCCCATCACGGCAACCTTCATAAGATTCTTCTGGTGGGTGGAGCTGCTGTAATTATGTGCTCTGGTAAAACAAACAATAAGAACCACAACCAGATGCCAGGTTTGGTGATGAACAGACATAAACACCTGCTATATGAAGATGGTCTTCTGCCTCGTGCTCCTCTCCCTCCTCTTCTCTCCAGGTAAGAAAGTTAACCTCAGACTTCACACTGTTCACCCTGAAGGTCAAGGGGTCAGGGGCTTTTAGAGCAGGCGGGGTAAGGGTAGTGACTCAGAGGCAGCGACACACATGTACATCTTATAGAGAGAACATTGTTCTCTGGGTGAGATTACAGGGACTTATCAGGTTTGTCTTATGGTCAGTTATACCGCAGGTTTTTCGTCTTGAAAGTATCCAGACCTGCTTTTTTTTTTTTTTACGGAAAAGTCACTCCAACATCATCAGAACGACTGTTGCTAAGGAAACACTGCAGGTATCAGTGCATATTTTGCACTGTGTTAGAGTTCTGCTCTTTTTTTATCTCCACTAATAATTTACTTATGTCATTGGCTGAAGGGTGTGTCCGAGACCTCCATAGTCCTTAACATTTATTTCAGTTTAGTAATACTGGTAATGTGTAATATTTGTAAGTTTGATGAGCTTCAGGAATAAGAAACAATTGAATGATAGCCTCGTTGGACTGGGTTTGTTTTTTGTTTTCCTTTGATTACAAGCCTCTCCCTAACTGTCTTAGGGAGAGGCTGTCTTTCTACTTTGTTTTATTCATTTGTGAGTTTATGGCACGTCATACATGTTCCTCTAGTTTTATAACTTTCTTCCTCTGTAGTTAGATTTTTTTTTTTAGCACAGAGTTGCATGAGAGTCCACTGTTCAGTTTCTCACACTCCCCACAAAACCTGTAAAGTGCCAGAGGCAATCTTTCATGTCCTGTAAATAATCTCTGTTTGTGCCCTGCTTGTTGCAGTGCTGTCACTGGACTGCTATGTGTGCAATTTCGCTGCCACCAATGACGAATGCAACCAGAATACTCAGACATGTCAGTCGCCGCTGGACACATGCATGACTATTGTCGACATTTCAGGTAACAATGACTACACAGTAGCAGATCTCCATTAGGTCTGGTTGGATCCCTCAGTGCTTGGCCTGTCACTATGAAGAGAATTTTTACAGAAGCACTTTTAATGACACATTGTCCAATGTGATCAGTTCTTAATTCAGTTAATGCTGCACAGCCTCTAAAATATCAGGAGGCATAGAATTTCAAGTCTAACAGAGCTTACTCAAACATCCTTATCTGTGTATTGTTCAGGTACTGCGAAGGCCATAGCGAAACTGTGTGCCAGTAAGGCCACATGTCAAGGGGCTGCATCGACTTCCTCAGTCGACGCAAACGGAAATGGAAACAGCGTCAACTGCTGCGGCGGTTATAACATGTGTAACTACAGTGGAGCCGAGTCCATTCACGTACACATATCACTGTTGCTCCTGACTGTAAGTGTATTACTGCTGCTGTCACACTGAGGTCACCAAGCTAAGCTACTCTGCTGCTCTGTACAGAAAAGATCCTGATTTAGCTCAGTAGACTATAATATTATGTAATATAATGTATCACAAGATTTCTATTAGATAATGTGCTCTTGTATATAGATGTTAAAATATGACAATAAGCTGCCTTCTCCCTGATTGTACTGCACACTATAAGAATGTTAACTGTTATATTAAGAAGCTCTCACAGATATTGTTTGTATTGCCTTGACTGTTACTGAATACAGGTTTTTCTACTGCTTGTAATCTGAGGGACATGAACACCGATCTTAACTGAAATTGATACTGTAATGCGCTTGAACATTCTAATGGACAGTACAAATTGTGGCACAGAAATGTATCACCATATACACTACGGCTATGCCTGTATAGACCTGTATAACTGTCAGTATGTCGTATTGTCTTGTCCATAACTCCTACACTTGACACAACCCTGGGGCCAACCAGTATCATGAAAGTATTTTTCGGGGCTAACAGACAAAAAAGTTTTTTTAAGATAAAATCTTAAGAATGTGAAAAGCTGTTCTGAAGCAAGAAGAAAATGCCACTGATCATGAGTCAGATGAACCAGTTTCACCCATCTGAAGTGAATTCTTTGGAGACAATATTACTTCAGCTCAGAGATGAAAGTACTCGGCAGAAGAACACCAAGAGCACTTTATGGGAGCGTCATTTTATTTTCTGGATGTTGTTTTCTTTATTAAAGAAATGTTAATTTAAATGGAAACCACAGCAGAGAGCTTCTGTGCCAGTAGTACCATGAAATGAAAACTCTGTAGTTCCAGACACTGGAGGTATAAAACCTGAAAATTAATTAATGGAAAAAAAAAGATGAATGTGAACCGTCTGATTTCCATTTTGTTATTATTTTATTTCATTGTTTTGGTTTTTTTCCCTCCTATTTGACAGGATGGCAGATTTAGCCCAGAAGACAAAATAAAAACCAGTGTTAACTAGTACAAGTTCTGTACAATTCACCAGTGGTACACACCAGTATAGCTTACAATATACCAACATGAGCAGATTTACGCAACAAGGAAATAAAATAGACTTATTTTTACATTTTTAATCCCTATTCTAACACCCAGATGTTTGATAGTTTCACTGCTGGTGAAACATGGAAATCAAATCTGAGTATAACAGGGTTAAAAAAAAAAAATCAGAATTTTTTGGTGCTGTGCAAAATTTGCTCTTCTCCATACCAGTATATCATGCTATACTAGTAGAGTCGCCAGTATATTTTATATTGCAGTACATTATACTCCATGTGGGGTCAGTATTAACAAAAACATGATCTGCTGTATTTCCACTTTAGCATTTTGTGTCTGAAAGACAAGTTCTGGTCAAGTGGCTCCACATTCGTGTGTGTTTGTTTCCCTAGGGACAGCTGTGAGTGTTACACCTGTCAGAAACTGGAGCACAGAGCACAAAGGTTCCAGATGTGAGGTCTGGGTGTATCCTCAGGAAATTCACTGTGTGCCACTGGTGGGTGATGGACCGTTAAAGGTGTGACACCAGTCTTATGTGAGGAACATCAGACCAACACTGGGGCAATATACGTAGAGCGGACACACAAAGGAGACACTGTCCTCACAGATATAGTTTAAGTTGAGCTCTGTGATGAGCCCGATGTTCTCCTGTTCTCCCAGTGCTGGGAGTGAATATTGTTTTTCAGAGGAGGAGCTGCTCAGAACAACACAAAAACATGGAGCCAGCTGATAAAAAGAGTCGACTATATCGAGTGCTAGTAGGGAGCCTTATATCTGTGGATTCTTCACATTTTGAGTCTTTAAAACATGCTCAGAGAGGAGCTGAGGAAGACTGCAGGAAGGAGAGGAGCAGTGAGAGAGAAATAAATGTGAGTGAAACAGAGACGAAAGAGGAGGACAGTTAGCTCAAGTTTTTAATCTGCTCGTCCATGTCTCCTTCAGTCTCCTCCATTGCAATTACAGTCTATAAATAAAACCGGGTGAGGGAAGACAGCAATGGATGAAAGGGAGGAGAGGGAGGAGCAATAGAGGGTGGGAGGCTGCTTCTCCAGATCAAACCAGGAATGTGTGGATGTTCTTCCACTCAAAGCACCACACCTGACCAAAGCCCAACAGAGAGCTGGCTCTAGTTTGGTTTGATCTGCCCATTCAAAAGAATCCGTGGAGGTATTTCAACCACGGAGTTCATTTCACATCCAGCGTTGAACAAATGTACTATAACTGCTGCTGGCTGATGTCTAAGTCTGTACCCACTGTGCAGTTTCATGCAGATATGTTGCGGATCAAATGCAGATCAATCAGGTTCTGATGGCTTTAGTTAAAAGTTGTATTCCATTGAAATGGATCCACCCGATGTCACTGTTCCAGTATCCAATCGCTCCGATGACAGTCAGAGGCTTTTAAACCTCCAGCCTCAGGAACCAGGCTCATCTCATCCAAATGCTTAAAGAAAATCACCAGCATATTCCTCTTTGCTTTTCCTCCTTTTTCATTGTATTCCCGTCCAAAGAAAGTGAAGCTGCAAAGTCCCTGATTCAGGAAGTGTTTTTGCTCTGTTCTTGCACTAACAAAGTCACAGTGGTGGAGACTTCAATCCCAGATGAACTGTCTACCTCAGCTTACACAGTATTCACCATCTAATGATTCTTCACAGTCTGTATCAGAGCCACTGTTTTCCTCATCAGCTCTCTCAGGAGTCACGACAGACATCACAATTGCAGGAGTCTTTTGATGTTCACTGCCAAGAGAAGCCACAATGATGCTGCCTCTCACAGAGCAGACTGGCTCCTGTTGGTCAGCTGAGCTGGTGTGGGGCTAGTGGGGGCGGGACTGGGCCATCATTTTGAGCCGCGACTGGTCGATAACATCCAGCAGGTTCTTGGCATCGACAGCGAGAGCGTGAGCTGCCGTCAACATCTGCTTCTTATAGTCCTGCTGGAGACTGGGGCAAAACACAAATATCAACATATACATAGATGAGACAACACACTGTTTTTCTGGTGGGTAGATGGGTAGTGCAACGTTTAAGGCACTATGGGGGATATTTACTAAACCTGTCGCAAATCACCATCAGGCACAGAAAATACTACGGCACCACAAATGTTTTTATTTAGCAGCGTATTTAGCAACACTGATGATGCAAATAAATACACCTCTGCTTCAGATCTGCTGCCTGAAGGCTGTTGCGCACGTGTGGACCTAGAAGACCATTTGTAACTTTTTTCAAAATATTTTATTGTAGAAATCTGCTCCAAAACCTGTCCTAATGTAGAGAGGTGCTGTGGAAGCCTCCTGCGACCCAGACTCACTGAACAGCACCAGCAGCAGTGCAGAGATATTAGCTTCTAAAAGGTTTTGCCTACATTAGCAGACACAGAGACTGTTATGGTAAGAAATATAAGATAAAAAGGAGAAGCAGCAGTGTTTTGCTTGGATGTTACACATACTGTATATACAAGGCACTGAAACAAAACTACTCATCACACACTCACCTAGTCATCACATACTGCTGGGCTAACTTCATCTTTCCAATCAGCTCTGCCAGATCTGAGTTTAACAGCTTCTGAGCCATCTCGATCTGTTAAAGAACACCAGAGCATTAAACGGGATAAACACAAGCTGATGTAAAAGTCTTCACCAACATGTACCGACTGTATGATCTTCTAAGGGGAATTCCACACCACTCGTGTTAGACTATTAGTATTTTCTGTACCTCTCTGTGTGTACTGGCTGGAAGCTGTGGTAGAGTCTCATCCACTGTGGCCAATAATGTCCTCAAAGCCAGACCCACATCCTGAAACACAAGATTACACGTAACACAAAGAAAAAACTAACAATGTATTCACTTTAAGTTCTTCCAAATATATATCAGAAGTTTATACAAATGCATAAAAAACAACTTTGGAGACAGGAAAAATAAAATAAGGCTAAATACAGAAAAAGTAAAGGTACAAAATAAGCTGCCAGGGAGATTAGAGACTTTGAATGCATCTGTTACCTTGACCATGGGAACATATTCCTCAGGAGGAGCGGGTTGGATCTTGCTCGACATCTCGATCACAGCTTTGACCAGTCCTGTCACGTTCTCGTACACCTTGTCATTAGAGCGGTCCAGGTTGGCGGTGGGGGGCGGGCTTATCTCCTGGGGCTGCAGCTGAACCAGGACAGCAAAACAAAATGACAGACTTACTGTGTGGAGAAAAAAAAAAACACCTAAAGAGCCGAGTGAGGACTGATGGTGGGCTCTAGCAACAAAACACAGAAAACAAGGTGAGACAATGTAGGAGAAAAGGATGAGATCTGTCACCTGTACAAACCCCTCTAACTCTGCACACATGGTGGCAAAAACGGAGGTCATTTTAACTTGTGCTGTTTTTCAAATCATTTTAAACAGCATTAGGTGAAGAAGAGAAGCACTGTAACCTGTACAAGATGAATGCAGATTAACGAGTAATAGTCTGAATGGTTATTTGGAAGTATGACAGCTCTGTTTTTAAAATCCTTATCTATTCCGGCCACTAGATGGCAGAGTCACGCTGACACAGCCAATAGATACTGAAATTTAACTAAAAACTGAAAAAGCTGATCTCACACCCTGAAACAGATTTACCCTGTGTGTGCTGTGTGTGTCACATATGCACACAGCAGTCTGATGTACTGACATAACTCAGCTCCTCTTGTCTTTTCCACTTTTTGCTCTGCATCATCTGGTTAGAGGACCTCACGCGACCACTGACCATCTCTATACACACAAGTCTACTCTGTCTTCTTATTTATTGTTGATTGACCCACTCTTGGGTCACAACCACCCGCCGCTGTCAAAATCCTACAGCTCTGACCCTTGAACCGACTGTGGCCCACTACTACTGCTTACAAAAAGCCAAAAACAAATTGTTCTGCTGTAACACTAAACATTTACAAGTCATGATAGAAAAGTGTCTAACATGAAAAATGCTAATAGGAAGGCAAATAATTTTTTTTTTGTCACGTCAGGAATCACAGATTTACCTCAAAGATCGTTACAGTCTGTATAAGAACCTCAAAATAAATTACTTAAAAATGTGGAAAAAAGGTAAAATCTTACAAAGAGCAAGGCAGGAATGATCCTTGTATCCTTGTTCCATCAATAAAATGTGTTCTGCACTCACTGCATGCTCTGAATAGATGCATCAACTGGGCTAAACTCTAACAAAGTTTCTGTCTGAAACAACACATATCTTTGCCGGGTTAAGAAATCAAGACGTGATGGAAGACGGGACTATATGAGTCAAAACGTGATCAACTAAGAGACAAGACGCACAGTAAACACACACAGATAGTGTGCTGCTTACCCGCCAGGGCTAGGGGTCAACAGTAAGGCAGAGTGTGGGAGGAGGAGGGAGAGAGGGAGCGGCCAAAGGAAAAGAAGATAAAATGGGAATATTAATCCTCTAAGCATTAAACACATGCATTGTGTACATCTGGTCACTGGTGTATCTTTATCTGTGTGTTGTGTGCTGCCGTGCTTATGGGTGGCCACTGTGTGTGTGTGGATTTTTATCATTGTCTTTGTGTGCTAAAAGGTTTATACTTGATTCTTCATTTAGTGTACACAACCAGTCAAATGTCTGGACAGACTCTCCATTTTAATTGCATGGGAAAGTGTGTCCCAACTTTGACTGGAAGTGTATTTATGGGTTTCCATTTATTTTCGTCACTATGTATAAATGTGTGTACCTTAACTCCATCGTTGTAACTGTCTCCACTATTTAAGCAGGCTAGACTGCCCCCCTGGCTCTGGGCTCCAGGCCGAGGGGGTTTCTTTGGGGGAGCGGCAAGCTCTGCAGGAAACACACAGAAGTGACAATTATTACTCGCTTATCAGCAGCTTTGGGTTTAGAGTCAAAGTCCTCAGTGTTATCAACATCAGTAAAAGGCTGCCACTGAGGATTGTGTTGTGATCAGCTTTTGGAAAATCTACAAGATGTCCAATAAATAAAAAGGCCATCACATGTTCTTGTTTTGTCTGACCAACAACCCCAAATCAAAATATATTTAAAATCAAACTCAGAAAACACTGAAAAAGGAGAACATTCTCACATTTGAGTAGCTCTAAAGTGAATATTTGGTATTTATGTTTGACTAAACTGTAACTTTACTAATGAATTAATTGTTTCGGCTCCATCTACAAGCAAAACACAAACGGTTCAAATGAAAACACAAGACAATGTTTGAGTAGAGGGGAAAAAATGCAGTTCCTAAGACAAAAAAATGAAACCCGTCTCCCCATTGTAAAACTATTTCAAGCCCAGTGTTTTTCTATTTTCTCTGTACTTGGCTGTGTGCAGAGCTGGTACATTCACACTCCGAGCATACAGCATATTGAGCCTGACATGTTGTCTGAGTCCATATAAACAAAGGTTGGTTTAGTCACTTGCAAGGCCAGGAGGGTTCACAACAGATTGTAAAGTCTGCAGGCAGACACGGACACACATGCCGCTGTGCGACAGACAGAAAGGCTGGAGAAAGTGGATTCAGGGAGGCACAGTACTGAGTAGAGGGATTAAGAGCTAAACACAGCTATGTAATGGTACATGTATCAACTGTATAGTCTTAAGAGAGATTAAGAGAGAAAGAGAATAAGACAACAGTGGTTGTGTGACTGTAATTATAGAAAGTTACAAGCCTGCTTATTACCTGGTTTGCCAACAGGCTGGTATATGTGCTGGTTTCCTGTCTGCACAAACAAACAAACAAACAAACAAACACAACAACAAAACATTGGGTTAAGAAGTGCATGGTCACAAACATAATCAGACACTTCATAGAAAACTAGAACTTAATAGGCAAAAACCACCAGCTGCTTCTGAAAAGTTTAGGGAATCTGATTTCATTTTCAAGTCTTGAGTTGTTTGTGGACAACACAAAGTTCATAGTCGCCTCCAGTCGAGGAGCTGGTTGTCTTTTCACTGGTGTCCGGTCTAAGCATTGTGTTACTTATGTTAAAAATATTCTAGCTGGCTACGCAGGGACACAAAAATCATGGTTTCCTTTGTTAGTGCTACTCTTTCAGAACCAGGAAAAAAAAAAACAGTTTGACGTCTTTATGATTTAATGGTTGTGATCAGTGAAACCACAGGTGTCAGGCATGTCACACAATCGATTTGTCACATTGTTCCTGCTTCGTTGTTGTTTTCTCAGTACGGAGGGCTTTGAATGCCTCGGTGCCATCGCAGTGTTGTGATCTAACAACCACCAACACCCAAAAATACCGTACTACAGCATCTTACACACACAAAGGAGGGAGAGATTCCCACCACAAACCACAGCCATTCAATGGGAGGACGAGAACAAGTACAGAGATGAATTACAGAGACAGAAATATCTGCTTCGACCATGGCAACTGCAACTTCTGCTGGCGTCAGGGACGTGACAGACATCAACACACAACTTGGTGTTCAGCTCTTGAAATTCCACCTCTGGGATAAAGTTACACAAAAGTGGTGATCAACAACATACTTTGATTTCAGGGGAAGAAACTTAATCACAGAAACATAAAAAAAACACGACCACTACAGGTTCTTGTCTGCGCAAGGAAAAAAAATTCCAAGAGGGGAGAAAGGTGATTAAGTTATCTTTCAGTACGACTTTCACGAAGCTAGAAGAGTTAACAGCATCTAACCAGCGGTATATTTTGCTGAGTGTGCATCTGTCATTGTGAAAATCACCTCACAGTTGCATCACAGTGCTCAGTTTTAAAATGATGTGGTAAGTGAATCTCTCAAGTGATAACAGATGTGAGACCCAAGAAATGATGGGACATCTCAAGTCTCTTATAAGCATCATTTATCCCTCACTTCCTTCTTTTCTTTGTGTCTAGTCCTGCCCAAGTAAGATGCAAGGAAAACGTGATGAGAAAAGACTCGAGCAAACATGCTGTTAATCACATGAGACGTCCTTTCCTCGGTTCCTTCACCTGAAATGTCCAGTCACCATCTGATTTCTGATAAAGCGGCGTATCACTTCACAAAAAACCTCCAACAAAGGATGGTCTTGTGTATCCTCAGTCATAGCTCGTCCAGCACCATCCTCGGTCCCTGCTCCTCTGAGCCGATAAAAGAGAATTGGACATCCTATAAAGTCGTTCCGATCGACTGAGGACGTAAGAACAATCTTATAAGAGACATGAGAAGTACCCAATAACTTCTTTCACAAACACTAAAACTGTTTGTACATATTCATGTGACCAGGGTTGCAATTATTCTGCAGATTCACTTCTTAACGAAGCAACTGTTTGTTCTATAACATGGCAAGAAACTGAAAAATGCCTCTGACAATTTCCTAAAACCGAAGGTGCAGCTTCAAATTGCCTTTTGTCAACAAACAGCCATAACCCAAAGATGTTGTGTTTACTGTGCAGCAGATAACACATCTGAGAAAGCTAAAACTAGCCACACTTGAAAAATTACTTAATGATTTCAATAATCAAAAGAGAAGCTTCTGTCAACTGACCAATCTTTTTATCAATCATTTCAGCTCTACATGTGACATGTTCTCAGGACAAATTATCATCCATCAACCTTAAAGCTGCCAACGCTGGCCAACATGTGGAAAAATACACTGTGTAACTAATTTTCTATGAGACCAGATGTACAGTATTTTCCTCAAATGGTATAATTACACATGGGCCGACTTGCACAGACATATGGCTGCTTGTTTTCCTGTATAATCTTCTATTAATAACGGGTGATTTTCTGGGAATCCACTGACCCCTTAGTGCTGACCCCAGCCCTCACAGGTCACTTCCTGTCCCTGGATCAACATACTGGAGCCAGTAACAGTGAGCTCAACCAGAGCGTGGGGTTCTGTCAACATCTGTCTTTATCAGACATCCTCCTCAATTCAAAACTGTTCAGAAAAATAACTTCCCTTTATTTTTAATATGTATATGCGGCATGGGAGGACATGTGACAAAGGTCATATGGTTTTGGCAGTGGAAATTAGAACATTTGTGTTTTGAAAAAGGAAAAAAACCTCCCTCCATATTGTTGATATTTGCAATTGTACTTAACTTGTGTAGCACTACTGTCATCCTGCTGCAAGCATGAATAACTAACAATGAGACAGAAACAAGAACAAGAAACTTACTGGTGGTTGGAGTCCACCTTCTTCTCTGTCCAGACTCCCTCTAGAACTTCTGGTGTCTGGTTTCTAAACACAGAAAAATAAACACAGGAACTATAAATCTCAGGGATGGTTTTATTTCAGTTTGCAGTCAGTTAAGAGATTCACTGTTCTGTATTTACAGCTACGCCAAATGACTGCAACTTTTTTCAGCAGAACTGAAAGTCCAACTGCATTTCTGTCCGACTTTTTAGATAATATGATATTTTGATTCCTGGGAAATTTTCTGAGACAGATCCCCTTTTATAGCATGCTGTCAAACTGGGGCACTATAAGCCAGTAGAGTCCAGCTGTGGAAAGTAACTAAGTACATTTACTCAAGTACCATACCTAAGTTCAACTTTGAGGTATCTGTACTTTGAGTATTTTCATTTTCTGCTACTTCATACTTCAAATTCACTATATTTTAGAGGCAAATATTGTACTTTTTACTCCACTACATTTGATAACTTTAGTTACTGGTTACTTTTCAGAACCAAATTAATATAAAATACAGTATGATTATAATACTTTAATACAGTATGATACACATTAGTGTTAAATGTGCCCATTCTGCTTTTGGTACTTTAAGCATGTTTTGGTGCTAATAATTTTGTACTTTTACTTAAATAAAATTTTGAACACAGGACTTTTAGTTGTAACAAAATATTTATACACCATTGTGTTGCTACTTTTACTCAAGTAAAGGATCTGAGTACTTCTTCCACCACTGGTCACTTAAGATTTTTAAATTTAAATGAACACTTTTTGCTACCAATGGACTGCCATGTTTTTAGGGATACATGACAATAAGTAGCTCTGTCACTGGTGATGAATCACAGCTGACACTGATGCGATTCAAGGTGAAAGTCAGCAGACTCCAACTCTGCAAATGAATGTTTAGTCTCAAATCTTAATGATTAGGTAAATGAGGAACTAAATGAGCAGTGAAGCTAACACAAAACACACACAGTTTCCCCACAGGAGATATTCAAAAGGAGAACATACTGTATAAAGCTGTAGGATCCATCTCCTACACACAGACACCTTGATCAACCTAAGAAGCCCATTTTCAGATTGACATGTAGCCCCAAACCGCAATGCCCCCGACAAACAAATCCAAAATGAACCACATGCACAAACGCCTCTACAACTAACCATACTTTCCCATGCCCTGATGCTCCCACTAGCCACCCACTCACACACCCGTCCTTGCCTACCAGTTTTCCAAGACAGGATTTGAAGACCAGCATTGCCATGGAGTTCATCAAAGTTGTCTGATGAGGTGTTGTGTCTGTGTTGTTATGTTCTGATCTTGTTGTGCCTCTCACTGCAGCTTTGTCTGCCTCTATATCCAAATGCCAGCCTGTATCTTGGTCTGTGCAGGCCGTTTCATCAAGACAAGAATTCAGATTCAGCTCCAGCGTCCTGCCTCCAGCACACTTATATCCGACTCTGACGCACGGAGAGAGGGAAGGAGATGAGGAGGAGGAGGGATGGAGCATGCTGCCAACGAGCTGTCAGTGTGTATATGCACGCCTACCCCTCTTTCCCAAAACCTTCTCCCTCCCCCACAGCCCTCCCTGAAGTGAAAGCGCTATAAAAACCAGCCTACAACACACACTTTGCGTACCCACACACACAGACACACACACACACACATATGCACCTCTCCAGCTTTTCAGTAATCTTGTGTGTTGTCAGAAAGTGGTTGTGGTTCAGAGACAGACTATTGACTGGCCTGTCAGACTCTCTAAGCCTATCATTAGCCTGGAATTCACACAGGCCACACCTGCCTACAAACTCTCACGCACACATAAAAATGCATGCACAGTAAGATTCTTTAGCCATAAACCCCAGACGGCTCCTTCAATCAGAGCTCACAGAAATGCGTATGTGTTCTGCATGAAACGTTCCTCTGTCTTCTCTCCTCGTCTTTGTGTCAGAGGGTCCCTCGATTAAAACATTGTTCATGCTATCTACTTATCTGTAGCAACAAACTGCACTAATCTATTTATATGTGGGAGTTTCACTGGAAGAAGCAGTGTTGTCTAGTAGCTCATCCATCCTCAGAACTGACAACCAACTGGCGCTCCGCTCCTAACATGAGCAGGAGAGATGGCGACAATCTTCTATCTGAACGTAGATAAATGTCAGAAAACAAGGAACACAATGAAATACTCACTTGGGGGAAATAAACATTTTTCCTCAGAAAACCAGTAGTTATGTGGCACATTCTTTTATGACAATATATGTAGGTATGTGAAGTGCCAGCTGTGCTGACAATCACACCTGTAAAGTCAATGTTCTAAATAATAATGCAACCGAATTCAACCTGTCTCTGGTTACATACCTTTGAGCTGTCGAGGCTCTGTTCAGAATTTAATGCCATAATTTAGGAGGATTTGAAAGCTGGTAAAAGCAGAGAGCAGCTCTGTCAGCTCGTGTGACTTGGATAATAAACTTAAGTATAGCTGCCTGAGGCAGTTGATCAAATGAAAAAAAAAAAGGCCAATTTTACAAATCTTTTGATGGAGATAATAGTAACTATTTCCACTCTACATAATGTCTCCAAATAATGTGGTTTTTAACTGGCCCCACAAAATCCTCCATTTACTTACACTCATCCCAGAAAATCACCACAGCCCTAAGGATTCAGTGATTTGTGTTAGGACACTGCAGCTAGTTTAGATCCATGTTTCAAAGTTTTATTTTAGCAAAAAGCTTATTATCAATTGTATCACCACTTCCACTACATACTGTATCATGTATTGGTAGTGCTACAAATGCAATGCTTATCAGGACTAAAGTAATGTTTTAGTAGCAAATACGGTGATCCCAGCTTTCAAATGTAGTTTAGCTTAAATACAGTATACAATTAATGAAAGGAACAGTCTGTGCAAAGTGTATTAAAATGTATTAATGTAATGGCCCCTGATGAAGATGTGATGAATATGTCTGTTGAAAAACTTATAGAAACACAAAAACATGCAAGTTGGAATTGAAAAAAAATGACAAGTGAAAAATGGCAAGCAAGACAGCTTTACATTACAGGTAACACTAACACACTGCATGCACAGCAACATCACACAAACACAAACTCAACTTTATATTTGATTTTTCTGCAGTGAAATTCCTCCTGGTTATGCAAATGTATGCAGTCTGCTGACCTATAACATTTAAGCCTAATGCAAGGATGGCTTTGTATTTTATTTGAAGCAGCATCATATAACCCCAAATCAGAAAAGGTTGGGACGGTATGTAAAAATCTAAATTAAAACAGAAACTAGTGATTTGTAAATCATCTGTGTCCTGTATTACATTGAAAACAATACAGCAGCACATTATTCGATGCGATACCTCACACATGTTGTCCTTTGTTCAAAATAAACACTCACCTCAACCCCCCACAAAAAAGTTGGGACAGTAAAGCATTTACCACAGTGTGATGTTGTTGTTCCTTTTCACAACACTTAAAAGATGTTTAGGGACTCAGGACACCAAGTTATTAAGTGTGTCAGGTGTAATTTTGTCCCATTCCTCCTGTAAACAAGTCTTAAGGTGCACAACGGTCTTTGTTGATGCAATTTAAGTTTTGCCACACATGCCACACATTCTCTGTTGGGGAGAGGTCGGGACTGCAGGCAGGTCAGTCCAGCACTCGCCCCCTTGTATCTTTGCCAAGGGCATTGACACAACCCCAGACCATGACAGAGCCTGGTTTTTGGACTTGTTGCTGGTAACAGTCTGGATGGTCCTAAGTATCTTTGGTCTGGAGCACACAGTGTCTGTTCCTTCCAAAAAGACCTGAAACACTGATTTGTCTGACCACAGTACACGTTTCCACTGTGTGATGGTCCATCCCAGAGGCCTCTGAGCCCAGAGCAGTCGACTGAGCATCTGGACACTGTTGACATAGGGCTTCCTTTTGGCAAAGTACAGTTTTAAGTACCATTTATGGATGTAACTACGTATTGTAGTGCCTGACACAGGTGAGCCGAAGTCATCCTGAGCCCATGTGGTTATATCACTTATAGAAGAGTATTCTTGATGCAGCGCCATCTGAGGGATCGGAGAGCACGGTCATCCCTTTAAGCACTGAAATCCCTTGAGATTCCTTGAATCTTTTAATTATGCTCTGCACTGTAGAGGGTGACATGTCCAAATCCTTTTCTAGTTTTCTTTGAGGAACATGGTTTTTAAACAGTTCAATAATTTTTTTCATGCATGTGTTGGCAAACTGGTGGTCCTCTGCCAGTCTTTGCTCTTGAAGGGCTCGTCCTTTCCTCGATGCCACTGTTGTACCAAATCATGATCACATCACCTGTTTCAAATGGACTCATCATTTCATTGTTTTACCTCTTTACTGGCCCTGTATTGCAGCCATCCCAACCTTTTCTGGAATATGTTGCAGCATCAGAATTGAAATTAGTGTTGATTTTGAACAAAGAATAAAACTGATGAGGTATCACATCAAATAATGTGCTGCTGTATTGTTTTCAGTGTAATACAGGCCACCGATGATTTACATACCACTATTTTCAGTATTAATAAAGATTTTACATAATGTCCCAACCTTTTCTGATTTGGGGTTGTAGAATTAAATTGTCTTCTAATTATCTTGCAGAAATGTCAGCAAATAGAAAGAATTAAATTGTCTCCTAATTAACTTGCAGAAATGTCAGCAAATAGAAAGATATTTTAATTGTCATGTCCAAAATACAGAAGCAAGCTGCTAACAAAGTACAGTGTATTCAGTTAAACTGGAAGCTTAATGTACTGTTACACCCTTAGTCATGTGTCTGCATTAACTGTGTTTGTGTCTTTTCCAGTGTGTTACCAGCAGCCTTTCCTCCTGTTCCAGCCACCTCTGATCCTCCTCCATCTGCTGTTGTTGTATCATCAGCTGTTCCTCCATTAACAGGCACTGCTGTTCTACACACTGCTGCATGTCTACTGCCCTGTCCTACACACACACACACACACACACCAACACAGACAAACGTGCAACAAAAGACAAGGCGTAGCAACAGACATGCACACCAACACATACAGTCACACATGAAGACAAAATGTGCACACACACAGGACATGAAGACAGACAGACACACACACACACACACACACACACACACACACATATGCGTGACTGATAAAAGGCTGAACAAAGATAACGAAGACACACACACACACACTAAAAATAATGGGCGTCAATGGGCTGTTGATTTGTGTCATTTAAATATTTGGATAAATAAAATACATTTGTGGACTGGACTCATTAGGTGGTACTTTGTGTGGAGACGGTTCTTCACAGATCACACATCAGTCTCTTATGGCTGCCAGGTAACAAATGCAAATCTAGCAGCAGGACACATTTTGTCTAATGGCACCAGCCAACAAAACTGATTTTCAAAAAATAAAAAAGATCTCAAAAAAACTTGAACTGCTGAGGGTTGTAGAGTCAAGATTCTGAGACTGTGAAGGTTTCAAAATTAAAAACACCAAGTAGGAGTCTTTTGAGGAGTGCTGTATGACAGTATGAATGGATGTGTGCTAGATGAGTCAGTAACATATCAACAGCTTTGTATGTGTTTCAGCTGATAGTCCGGTCGTGACTTACCTGTGTGTGTGTGTGTGTGTGTGTGTGTGTGTGTTCAATTTATTTCCTACCTCCATCGCTGAGCCCCATAGTGCCACATCCTGTCCTGGCTGGGGAAGGTGCTGCGTGTGCAAGTGAGTGTGGACATGATGGCGAGGGTGTGTGTGCGCATGGTGTGTGTCCAGCATTGCAGCCTGTGGGGGATACAGGGCACTGGGCACCGAGGGGAGGGTGTGGGGGCCAGGATATGCTGCCATCTGAAACAGGGAGGGAGGACGGAGAGAAAGACATATGGTTAGTTTGGTATTAGTTGTACTGTGATTACTAGTATACTACTATCTTTTTTATCTTAAAATGGTTTATGTCCCTTCTGTTTCCATATTTGATGCTTTATTTCCCATTTAATGTTTTATTAAATGCACAATTTCCTTTGCGAATTAAGTCAACAGGCTTAATCCTAAGGAATGTGCCATACAAATACAACTGTCTTGACTTACTGCAGCCCCAAACCACATCTGGTACAGATCGGTAATTGTATATATTTTTAAATTAAATTATATTATATTTAAAGTCAT